CAGGAGGTTCCCTCTGAGCATCAGGTAGACACTGAAGTTTACTGAGTGCTGGCACAGGTTGCCCAGAGAGGTTATGAAGTCTCAGTCCTTGGAAGTATTCAGTAGCCTTTTGGTCATGGTCCTGGGGAATCAGCAGTAGGCGACCCTGTTTGAGTAGAGGGTTGAATAAGCTGACTTCAACCATTCTGTTGTTCTCTGAAAAGTGGGAAAAGCAGGTTTCCCAGAAGTAGAGAGATACATTTTCCACATTTTGGACAAAACTAATTGTTTCATGCTATATGATGTCCTGTGTAGCAGTAAGAGCTGGGGGAAAAGGCAAAGAAAGAAGAGGGCTATTTGGAATTAGCTTCCCAGTTAACTGTTGTACATAATGAAGCACAGTTTTCCTGGGAAAGACTAAACATCTTCCTGCAGATGGGAAGTAACAAATAAATGAACTTATTTTGCTTTGCTTGCACATACAACTTTTGATTTATCTATTAAGCTCTTGTTATCTCTGACCACGAGTTCTTCTCTTCTCTTCACTTCCTCTGAGTGGGTTGAGGAACAAAGAGCTATGTGAGGCTTAGCTGTGTACCAGTGATAAGCGCACAGCACTTAAATACTTGTGAATTTTGATCAAATGTGGGAGGCTCTAGAGAGGTTTGTAGACACACTTCTGCACTGAATTCATAAACAACAGCTGTCTATCTCTTTCCCTTCCTTCTTATCCTTAATAGACGGCAGGGGAAAGATCTCTTCTCTAAGAGCTCTTGGTAAGGGACAGTGTGACTTTGAGATGCAGTTAAAACGTGACTGCTGCTTTCCACTTTTCCTTCAGAAGCCATCATCTGTGTTGGACTTGGTCTTCTAATAGCAAAAAGCTTGTGAGTGGTGCATAGATTTTGGGGAAAAAAGAAACAAAACAAACCTGCATTCATGGGAGCTATTGAGACTGAGAAAACAGGTCTGTCTGCTTTTGAAATGATTGACGGACACCGAGTGGTCTTCCTAAATTTTTCTCCTCCCTTTTCAGTTAAAGTAAAAATCACAATCTTGTGTGCCCTTGTTTTCTTGTGTGTTGTATCATCATCATAATTCAAGCATTTCAGGTGAACTGTTGTCTCAGACAGTCTCAGGCACAATCCCCAAAACCACCCTACTGTTTCACGTGCGTTTCCATGCTTATTAATGTGATAGAAATGCTGTGACAGGGAGCTACAGGAAATGCCGTATTGAGTTGGGAAGGGAGAAGGCAGTATGTGGAGCAAGGGCCTGCCACCTTAGCATGGTGAGCTTCTCACTGTGGAAGAGGGTGCTGTACTCTCTAACAGTAAGTGAGCTTCAGAAGAGAGAAGTGTCTTTTTTCTCCCTCTTGCTTTCCATGGATTTAGATTATTCTTGGTTACTTTGAGGCGAAAATACAATTTAAAAAAAAAAAAAAAAAGTTAATTCTGCAAACACAAATTGAGTGTTCATAAGTGGAATATTGCTGCACGTTGTTTGTGTTTTATGAATCTTAATGAATTTGTCAGGAAATCCAAAGCTGTAGTTAAAAATCACTTTTTGAATTGGGGCAGAGGATGATTCTGCTAGCTTATGCACTCATCTAACTTTTGCCTTCGAGTGCTGAGTGCATATACAGTTGTTCTAGTAAAAAATAAACAGAAAACTCTTCAGTGATATTCTGATTGATATAGGCTAAATATAGGAATAATAAAGATGTCTTGAGGTTTGGGGAACATGCAGAATTTAAGATGTTAATATGATGCTTTGAGACAAAAGGAGCTTCTGCCTTAGTTAAAACCCTGGAGTAAAGAAAATCATTTGCTAAACAAGCGATTTCCTTTCTACCTGAGGTGAGATTATAGTTGGAAAAACAAACACTGGATACGTGCTTCTAGTTCTTCAATATTGCTTATATACATCTAATTATTCAAGTAAGACTTTACTGAAATAATTTGAAATTAAACATTAAACACATTTCTTCTTGTGTGCATCTTATGATCTCTGTATCCTCCATGTCACTTCAGTGAGGTATGGACTTAGCTGTTTACCTCTTGTTGTTTAACTGCTAGCTTTTCTAAGCACTGTAAACTTTTTCAGTGATATTTTCCTCCTTCCTTCTGTTCTGCCTGGCAAGTAAGAAAAATCGGTTAATGACCTCTTAAAAGCATACAATGAAACGAAAAATAAATCCCTAACCTAGAAATAGTAAGCTTAATTTGAGCAAATTCACCCCTGCCGTAGCACATACGTTGCATGCTTAATGTTGAAACGCAAGCAGAATATCTTTTACTGCACATTTAACTTGGAACTAGAGCAGGAGATTAACTGTCATACTAATGAAATCTAAACTTGAGATTTTTGGAGTTATTTTTCCAGTGTTAAAGTATAGGGTAAAATAACTATAAGCTGAGTTCTAGTTTAAAAAATAATTTAAAAAGTCTTGAAATTGAAGACCAGCGTGTTGTGGAGTTGTACTCCTAATTTTAGTTTGCAGTATGTTAAAATAAACAAGTTCTTAGCATAAATGTATTACAAAGCATTATTTAAACAGGTTTACTTTTGTCCGTAACTCCATGTAAACTCAGCAAGGTTTAAAGCCAATGAAGGCTCAAGCCCTAAGTGCAAGTATAACAGTACACCTGAAGTTGTCTTTTGAAGAAGGAATTTATGTGGTGATTGAAGTCATGCGTACTGCTGCTAAAACAGTGACCTTTTCCCAGTAGAGGTGGAGAGAAAACACCATGTTTTGTGGTCTTAGACCTCTGTATGTCCTTTATGTTTTTATATAACGTGACTGTAAAAGCAATCCTGTCTAAATGGGAATTCTGCTGAAAAGCAGTATTTATGCTGTGTTAATTTTCAACAAGGTCACCTCCCCCATTGTTTTTGTGGCTGCAGCAGCACTGTGAGGCAGACGTATCAGCCATCCCAGGGATTTACATTTGTACATGTCACTTGTGAAATGACTTAGGCAGCAGTTCTGCTTGCCATTTATATGTGTGTTTATTGACCATTTGGCAACATGACTCATATCACTGATACTAAAAGGATTTAGCAGTGAAGGGAAGGTTTTGGGAGTGGCTCTCATGGGGAAATATGGATGAGTGGTTCTACTTGGGCAGTTAAGAATAGAGTAAGTCACTGTGAGTTTTGAAGAATGCAGTAGTTACTCTGTCATTTAAGTGATCAAAATAGATAGTTCTTTCTGCTGCTCTCCTGAAACAACATGTGCTGTATCAGCAATGCTGCGGCCTTGGTCTTAAAACTAACTACAAGGTCAAAATGAAATACTTTAAAATGCTTGACTGTCCTGCGCTTTCAAACATTCTAATTCTTTCTTCCATCCAGACCTCTCTTTATGATATATAGCTGGCTAAAAACAATTCTTTGTTTTACATCTTCAGTCTGTTTTTTGTTTAAATTTGAACTGACTTTGTTAAAATATAACACAGTATAAGAACTCCTGATCTCTGAATCCTCATGTAGGTGTAGTGCGAATTGAAAAGTAATTGATGGTAGAATAGTAAATCCTTGGAATTGTTTATATTCTAGCATTTTTAAAAGCATTTTAGGGAGTAATAATGGATTATGAACTTTGAGATAAACAGAGAGATTGGTTGTACTGGCGCAGGTGGATGAGAGGTCCCCAGCTGATTGCTGCTTTCTCTTGGCTGTTGCTGCAGGTACCTGTGTTCAGTTCTATGAAGTGCTCTTGCTGGGACGAGCTCTCAGTAGCTGCATTGCACAGGTGCACAGTGAAATGGGGTGGAAAATTGTGCTGCCTGCTGTTAGCAAAGAGCAAAACCAAATGTGCTGTCAACCTTTGTACAGCAATAAAAGTTTATGGTTGAATTACTGAGCAGCTTTTTAAACTGCAAGCCAAGTCTCTCAAAATGTGTGATAACTTCAGAAAATCTTTTGTTGATTTTTAAATCAACAAAATCATCCATGCGTTTTTAAATGCATGGATGCATACCATCACTGTTAGAAATATTTTAAACCTCAGGTTTTGGTAATAATTTATTTCTGTAGATGGAAGCAACCAAGAAAGAGTACTGTAGAATTCTAGATGTGTTTTGCATTGAAACAATTTGAAATGGCACTTTTTTTTTTGTTTTCTTTTAATAGAATGCTATTCTGATTTAACCTTTCCATGTTCTGTGACACCATTCTTACGATAAATAAGAATTTTGGTTCCCTGTAGACTAATTAAAAATGCGTTTTAAGGTAGTTGAGTTCCCAAATAGAGTTTCAAGTCAATATTATTTCTGCTCGCGTGAATTTACTGGTTCCTTTTATTGTCAAACATTATATTTCTGTGAGGGCAGCTGATTGTCTTACCTAGTTGATGTTTCTTTTCGGTGCATAGCATGGGCACAGATGTGAGGGAGTAAAAGCTGTTAAGTAATAATACAGGTGGCAGAGGAAATAGCGTTTTGCAGTTGGTAGGAATGTTAGTAGCTCACTGAGAAGTGGAAAAAAATAGTTCTATGGTTTTGAGTAGTCTAGTTTTAGTAAAGTGTCCTGGCTACTTATTGCTAATTCTTCTAAACCCGTGCGCATAGTGTGAAACTCTATTTGAAGGATTTGTTTTCAGTACTTTCTTTATGCTCTTGTATTTGTCGTATGTCTGTTGGTTGCACTCAGTTGTGAACTGTTGTTGAATGTGTCTTGTCCAAGAGAGTGACTTTAAATAAGTATGGTAAAGTACCTGGTGATAATGTGCCAGGCTACTTAAAATAAAGAGAATAGAGATAGACCATGTGTGCATATATAAAATATATACCTCTAATATGTTATTTTGGAGGCAATGGCATTAGTGTTTCTAAGCGTCAGACACGTGAAGTAACACTTTCTAAAAAATAATAGTCTTCATCATTGCTGACAAAAAGTTGTGGAATTATAGGTGGGTGAGTTTCAGTTGTGTTCAAGTGTGGTAGCTTCAAAATGAAATCCACTAAAGCTCACCTGGAGTGTGTTTAACTGTAATTTGGTGTGTCTTGCCCCCTCAGGAGGAACAGGCTGCTAAACTGAAAGCTGAGAAGATTAGAGTGGCGTTAGAGAAGATTAAAGAAGCACAAGTGAAAAAGGTAAATTATTTATGCTGTTTTATGAGATTTTTTTTTTACACTTTTTCACCTGGAAAATGCAGGCATAATACTTCTCATTTGTGTCTATTACCATTGCGATACCTTAAAGAAAACAGGAACGCTGTAGTGATCAGATCTGATCTAGAGTGATAATGTACCTTTTCATCTGGACGCCAGTCAAAAAATCCTAGCATATCTAATACAAATATGTTTTGCTTAAGGAATTTTGCAGCCAGTGTGCTGTTAGAATAGTTTGCCACCACAGCTGAAACAAAGATTTAGCCTCCTGAGACTGTCTTTGTGTATTAAGCACTCTCACCTCAAATGTGAGTTTCTTCACAAATCCTTTCTTTACACACGTGTGTTGTCAGATTTTCCAGCGATAAATAGAATGCAAATGTTTCAGATTACACAGAGAGGTTACAAAGTGAAGGAAGTCTGACACCACCTGACGCAACATCAAAGATGTTCCTTCCAGATTTAGCCTTCTTATTTTAATTTTGAAGCGTTCCAGTAATTTTGTCTTCTACATTTAGTGTTTATAAATCAAAACCTAAAAAATGTCCTGAGTTGGAAGATGGGAATTAAAACTTAGTAGTACTAGTGTATTACAACTACTGCATTTTAACTTTTGCAGCTGAGCAAGAAGTAAAAAGGAAGCAAGCAGCATAATGATTAGCAAGAAAAATCTATTGACTTCAGATTTTTTTATTAGTTGAAAAAATAAGTGCATTTTTCTTTCTGGGCAGTGACCTCTTTAAAGTGGACTCTGAAAAGCCACTGTGTTTTAAAAGTATATTTGTTGTATACTAATGCTTAATGTCTCCAGGAAAATAAGACAGTATAGGTGTGCTGCATATATGATAACGTTGTTAGAAAATAGAGAAAAAGCAGGCAGAAAGCTTGACTTGCAAATCTGAAGAAATATGTTCTGTGTAAGTTGGTATAATTCTCAATCTATGCTTGTGCCACCTACATATTTTCCTCTTTGTGAGAAAATTGTCATTCAGATGTTTATGGGTTTTTACGTTTTGAGGAGAATGTTGAATGATCTGAATATTTTGTTATTTAACAAAATCTTAGAAAAAGGCCTTAAAAAGTACATTTTTACTTGAAATGTAGAAAATGTGGTAAGTTGAACCTCTTTGTGTTTTTCTGATTTTCTGCTCAATAGTTGGTGATCAGAGTCCACATGTCTGATGACAGCTCAAAAACAATGATGGTGGATGAGAGGCAGACAGTGAGACAAGTATTAGACAATCTGATGGACAAATCACATTGTGGTTATAGTTTAGACTGGTCGTTGGTGGAAACCATCTCTGAATTGCAGATGGGTAAGTAATTTATTTATAAACGTTTGTCATTCTTATCTGTTGATGTGGTACTTATGCATATTGATGTCTTCAGAGTAATTTAAATTCTTAACTTCATAGTATTTAATATCCAGGGCTAGTAATCTTCTTTCATCATTGTGAATTTGTTTGCCAGACTATAATTCTGCATGAACTTCACTACGCATTGTTTCAAATGGATGTGGGAATGTTTTCTTCCTTGGTATTAAAACGATGTCTAAATTGGAAGGCTTGATAGAGGAATTGTAGTAATGTCTATTGACTGAGCCTCTTGGTTTTGATGTGTTCTTCATGTAAGAGTGAGACGAGGAATAAAAAAAAAAAATCTCACCATACAAAAAAGTCTGTTAGAGGATAACTCATTACCTTATGAATCTTAAAGATATCACCCAGACCTTATTAACTTCCTGTGTTGTTCCTCTGCTATCTTAAATCTTAGTTCATTCCCTACAGATGGCATTTTGTTGCATTCACTCTTAGTGTTCTTAATTACTGAGGATTTTGAGTTGTCCTATGTCATCTCAGGCTCCTTTAGTAAGAGCTCCTTGATCTGGATATGGTGAGTGCCATATGCTCTCTGTAAAAATGTGGTGTAATTGATTTGGAGAGGAATATGTTTGGTTTTAACAGGCAAGTTAAAACAAGTCCCAAAGAATTCTGAAAACTTTTTTGCCTGAGTGACAATATGGCCTATGTGAAAGGGGAAATAATTGCTGAGAGCAAGGTGCTACTTGAGAATCATTTAGAGAAGAGTGTTGGTCAGTGATTTCCCAAAGACTTAGGATAAGAATTTTCAGATATTTCTCTACCACTTCAGTAAATTTTTGTCTTTTTAAAAATTCCCCTCTTCCTTTTTGCTGATTTTTCATCGTCCTATACTGGTGATAACCATCTCAATACAGAGGCATAATCCATTTTCCAAATTCTTCTACCATACTCCTACTAACTAGGGTTATTCTACCTTTCAGAAACATTTTGTTTTCCCTCTAAGCACTGTTTATGACTTTTTTTGACACTTTGAGTGAGATAGCAACTGGGGATGTAGATACAAAATTAATGCTGAAAAAGCCACCTAAGAAATTCCTCTAAGAGCTCTGTTAACCAGAGTATATATAAATGTGATTGTTTTTTTTATTTGTTCTTACAACATGTCAGATATTGTTATTTGAATTTGTTGTATTCATGTGGGATAGTTAGCTTTGTCAAGTTCAACAAATGGGTTATTCAGGCTTGTTATACAGATGGTTACGTAAGCCTGAACAGAGAGAAGTGAAAATAGTGTGTGTGTGTAAAATTAAGCTGGGCACTTGCAAACGTTCACTAAATTCTTTCTAGTTTGTGTTGTAAATTTCTTCTTCATTTTAGTAGGTCTTGAAGTGTATTTTTTTCCATACATGCCTCATCTCCCTGGTGAAATTACAGTGTAGCTTATTTCACAGAAAGTGACAGATTAAAATGTTTGCTCTTTTATTATTGCTGCAGAAAGGATCTTTGAAGATCATGAAAATTTAGTTGAAAATCTTCTCAATTGGACGAGAGACAGTCAAAACAAGCTAATGTTCGTGGAACGTATAGAGAAATACGCACTTTTTAAGAATCCCCAGGTAAGCCTGAGGCGTATGTTGACTGTATGTATGTGCATGTCTGATGGCAATTTCATAATGCTTTTGTTAGCATTCATTTTAATATTTCTATTTTGATACTTGTGTCCATATAAAAATGCCAGGCAACCTTACATCTCAGTGCCACATACATCCATGCTGTGATTGATAAAAGATCAGATGTGTAACAGAAAAACCCGAGCCGAAGCTGTTTCCTAATGTATTCATGAGCAATTTTAATAGTGATAAAGGCAGACAGTTTCACAGCAATTGCACTTAGTGCTGTTCACAAAAATAAGTATACAAGCAAGGTATTGGCAGGTATTGCTGAGAGTATTGCTGCTCCACTGTGTTCTTTGTTTACTGACAAGGTGAACATTCTGAAGAGGATATCCACACACTGTGGTCAAGTGACACAAGAGGAGGACTTACACTTCCCTGTGAAAGTTGGGACTTGCCTCTATTCATCCATGTTCCCTGTTTAGGAAACAAAAGGGTCCTCTTCTCTCTTGGGAACTGATTATTGAGGGATGATAGTGGAGATTTCAAAATGTTAACTACATATTTGATATCCAGCAGCAGTTCATTACCAAGGAGGCAGCTCTTTGAAGAATTTGGAGCTGAAAAGTTTTGTATATACTATAATTTGATCTCTTCTAACTCTTAGTAGCGACTTGCCACTTGAGGTCATGGATTATTTTTATATTGACATATATGATATGGCATTTATGTGGTAACTTCTTGGATCTAGACTCCCTGTTTACCTAGCAAGCTGAGTAGCAATTTTGCATGGACATCCTTTTGTACGCTGTAAATTTACTTTCAAGCAAAAACTGAAAATTGGGTCTTACTCCAGTGCTTTGTTAGGAAGCTGCAAAGCTCTGCAAAAAAAACTGTTTTAAGACTGTGTTGATAAACGTTTACTACATTACATGTAGTATGCACTGTCAAGAGCACAAGACACCAGCGTAAAACCAATTTTTAAATACACATATTTCACCTTTATTTGAAGGCTTGATCTGGAACTTATGAATATTGTTTTCTTTTTTTTCCAGTAAGAGCTAGAGGTTGGGAAGAAGATTTTCATCGCCTTTATCCTTTCCAAGCTGAAGAAAAGCATAGGAGTAGTTCTTAAATAAGATAGAGTACCTGTTGCTTAAAAGCTCCTTCTGATAAGACAAGGAGTATTTAGTAGTTCTGTGAAATATTTTTTTTCAGAGAAACTATCAGCACAAGGTGAAAAGACATGCATTTCTTCTGCGTGTGCTTCTGTCAACACACCAGTAATGTCAAGATTTAACACGTTTTAAGATACTGTGGCATTTTCAAGTTCACCCTACTTTTGTTTCTGGATATGTTACACCAGTCAGCTTGTTGTGTGGAAAGCCAGGAAAATATTATTATGAGACTATTGCTTTAGGATAAGAGCTGGGACTGATTGGCACTTCGGAAGAGGTGGTTGTTTATTAAGTTCCATGTATGATGTAGCCATCTGATAGTTTCATCTGGATTATAAAGTTTTTAATTAGAGTATCATTCTTAACACCTTGTTTCTTACTCCTATAGAAAGGCAAATGAGAAATGTTATTTGGCTTTATTTCAGAATGCCTATAGAAATCCTGACCTCTCTCTTGTTACAGAACTATCTCCTGGGGAAAAAAGAAACCTCTGAGATGGCAGACAGAAATAAAGAGGTGCTGCTAGAGGTGAGACTGCCAAAACAAAAAGAACATCAGCATTTGAAACTAAACTCTAAAACTTTGTGGTTATTGAATCTAATGGATGGATCTGAATGGGAAAATGGAATATGTTACATTTGAGGAAAAATAACTATTTTAATGTCACTGTATTTCATATAAAATAGGTTACTTTGAATGTGTCTTTATTTTCTTTGGCAACCAAAATGAGGTTACCTGTAGTGGTGGTTAAACAGTTGAAATCTGGAGAACTACTGCTTATCTGTTGACCTGAGATGACAGAATTTTTTTGAGCACCCTCCAAATTGTTACTCAGTACGAAATTCTGTAGTGTTGGTTCAGTGACTAGTTCCATGTTAGAATCTTGAGTTTTGTTAGTAAGCAAAGTAGTTAAAAACAATTTCAGTTACACTTTAAAATAAACCACTAAAAATTAGATTTTAAAAGTGAGTGACAGAAAGGGAAGTTATGTAATGTGTTCAGTATTAAACAATTCACAGAACTAAGGACAACAAAAAAGGAAGCGTGGAGTAAAGAGATCAAACAAATTGTAGCATTCATAAGCTGAAAACAGAATAATTTTGAGATGTTTTTGTAGAGACATACCTATGCTGAAGTGTGATAGCTTCCACTTGATCATATTGCACAGAGAAAAACCTTTCCTTAATCAGTGTGCATTCCTTAGATGCGGAATTTCAGTCTCAATAAAAAGCAAAACAAAACACTGCATGCTGTACGTTCTCTTTCTGTCACTTTTCAAACCACCGTTTTTATCTCCAGGAATGTTTCTGTGGAAGTTCTGTAACTGTGCCAGAAATTGAAGGAGTTCTGTGGCTGAAAGAGGATGGTAAGAAATCTTGGAAGAAACGTTACTTTCTTCTACGAGCTTCAGGAATCTACTATGTTCCTAAGGGGAAGGCAAAGGTATGCTATTTTAAAGCAATTTACCTGTCTTGTTTATTGCTGAGAAATCATTTGGGCACAAGACTCAGCTTTATTAGCTGTGTGCCCTGCCCAGAGCCTTTAATTAAAAGTGCAGCTTTGTTGTGCAAGTGAATTGTAGATTTACTATAAATTACTGTGGTAACACTTGATATGAATTGTCTAACCCCATATTTAAAAATGCAAGACAACGGGAGTCTGTTTGTTGAGTGAGTTTGGGCTTAGGTGGTCAGAAACACCCAAGATTCACTGAGATTAATTAACAGCAAATGTAAAAGTTCCCAGTCAAATCAGTCCTATTTAATCCATTCTGATAGCAATGCTGAGTAATTATTAGCAGTCTGCTGTAATTGGTTGTCAAGAGGCAAAATACAAATGAACACACAATAGACAGAATTTGAAAAAGAATATCCTGATTAAAAAGGTCTGATGGAAGAGTTTATGCATGGCTGTATTCCCTTGCTGTACTGGTAGTGTTAGAATCAGATTGAAACTAATGATAGTATCATATTAGTATTGAATCTTAACACTAAAGTGGTTTGATTTTTTATTTATTTATTTTTTTTTTTCTTTTTCAGTGTTTGTGGTTTTCTTACATAGCTGTTTTGTAAATTAGTATTTTTGTACTCAATAGGTCTCGCGGGATCTCGTGTGCTTTCTACAGCTAGATCATGTCAACGTTTACTACGGACAGGACTATCGGAACAAATACAAAGCTCCCACAGACTACTGCTTAGTGCTGAAGGTAGGAGAATAGTTGTTGCCTGTTCTCTGTGCTCCTCATGACTTGGTAAATATTTACATATTGCTCTGAACTGCCAGACTGACGATTCCTACTCTATTTAATCGTTCTATTTAATTGTTATCAAGTATTACACCAAAATCTTTGGCAGCTGCCTTACAGGAATGCAGACTTAGTGGATTTAATGCTCTTTGAAACACTAATGTCAGGGTTTTCCTGTCCTCTCAGAGCATATGTTCAGAGTAGTGCACAAATTGGGATTAGTGTCAAGCCCACCCATATTGCCCAACCTGGGGAGACAGGGATGCTGTAAGGGAAGAAACTTCTTAGTATTAAGACAAATAGAAGTACAAGTAGAAAAAAAACGTTATGAAATCAGTGACCTAATCTTAAACTGTAGAGTTATTAATTAATGCTTTTGGTTGTTTTAGATTGCATCAATTTCATAGAATCATAGTGTGGTTTGAGTTGGAATGGACCTTTAAGCTCATCTGACTCCAACCCCCCTGCTATAGGCAGGGACACCTTCCTCTAGACCAGGTTGCTCACAGCCCCATCCAGCCTGGCCTTGAATGCTTCCAGGGAGGGGGCATTCACAACCTCTCTGTGCAACCTGTTCCAATGTCTCACCACCCTCACAGTAAAGAATTTCTTCCTGATATCTAGTCTAAATCTACCTTCTTTCAGTTTAAAGCCATTTCCCTCCTCCTGTCACTACTTGCCCCTACAAAGAAAAACAAAACAAAACAAAACAAAAACCTTCCTTAACTCTCACACATTGTTCAAAATAGTGTTAGTTCCTGCAAGATAGCTAGCTACAAAGCTATTTAACATATTTTCACAGTATGTTTGTAGCAAGTAAAGTATTTTCATGAATTTGAAAATGGCGCAAGTAACAAGATAGTTACAGTTAGACTTAAATTTTCCTTCTAACTTCATATCATCTTGTGTCAAGTGGTGCTGGGTACTGACATCAGTACATTAAAATGGTTGTTGTGCCTGGAGTGTGTGGCTGCCTGTCTGTGATGTGAAGAAAACATGTTGCCCTTCTTTTAACAGAGGGCATAATGTTTGGGCCCACTGACAGGTAGACATTGAGTGTCAAGTTTGGGATATGAGATTAAAGAGGAAGGCATAAAATTAAGATTGGAAATATTTTCTTTGTTCTTATAAGTCACTGGAATAGTTAATTGAATGCAATTAAATGCAAAAATACCACTGTTTGTAGGTATAATTATAAGTTACTTGTGTAAAATTGATTTCTTATGTTTGTATGCCACTTTCTATCTGTATCATTTTTATGGATGAATTATTTTTTTCAAGTGTATTGATCACCCAGAATAAACCAAAGTTTTATGTCAATAGATTTTAAAAAAGTAATTTATTACTGTTGTGAGCATAAGGGAAGACAAGAGAATATTGAAGTTAAATTTTTATCGTTAGTTAAAAATTAGAAGAAGAGTGTCCTCCACGGTACTGTACGTCGGCGTGAGGGAAGATTGAAATACTATTTGTCTCCCTGCAGTGGTGGTTAGTCCATAGGGGGGCAGTAAAGGAGACAACTCTGTGCACTTTGGCTGTCTTTTGCTTGCAATGTTTTTACAAGCTGAGACTGTTCTGACCACTTGGTTTGAGAGTAGAAACATGTATGAAGAGCCTCATGGTACAGAAGGCTCTGTAGGTAGATAAAAGGTGCAGAACTAAAATACTGAAAGACTCACCCTTTCCTAGTGTTTCATACCCGAAGTCAGTGCTCACTGACACGCTGCCAATCTCTGTGTAAAACAGTTCCCCTACCTCCTGAAATGCTTTCAAATATTTGTAAGTGAACTCAAAACATGTACTACCATCGAAGAGCAGTAAATTTGTCTTTATAAAACTTAGCAGTTAAATAGCTCTCCTTACCTTCCTACCCATTAAAATAATGGTTATTGCTAATGTTTTTATGCAGCATCCTCAGATCCAGAAGAAATCCCAGTATATCAAGTATCTTTGCTGTGATGATGTAAGAACTCTACACCAATGGATCAATGGCATCCGCATTGCTAAGGTAACATCCTCCAGCCAGTCTTCCATTGTTGTCATGGTCTGTATGAAACTATTTGCAGTTATTTGGCAAAACACATGCTGAATCCACACGAATCCTTTCCTTCTATTTCTGGTAACCTTAATTGTCAAATGACAAAATTGGTATCTTGGCTTAATGTTTGCCAGCTCCCTTTTGGGTTTCACATAATTGTTTTCTAGTATCTCCAGCTTGTGTTAGGCCCACTTCTTGCATTATCTAGCTGGTTTGATGCTGTCTGTTCTAGCATAGACATTTTTTAATTTTCTTTTAGCAATTCATTAAGTAAAATGCAAAAGTTTGTGGTGAGGAAGCTGCCACTGCTGTTAAGTAAAGCAAAATGAAATTTGCACTGAATTAATTCTGTGTGAAATCCTTCACAGAGAGCATGCTTTTTTGTCTCTGGGTGTTTCTCCTTTTTCTGAGGGGGGAAAAAGGTGGAACAAAGAAGCTAAAGTTGAAGATCAACAGACCGAAAAGGGTACACAGCCTATATAGTAGTTAGCCTATGGAGTAGTTAAATTTGTTTGTCATTTCACTTAGTATGGGAAGCAACTGTATATGAACTATCAAGATGCACTAAAGAGAACAGAATCGGCATATGACTGGACTTCCTTGTCTAGCTCCAGTATCAAGTCAGGCTCCAGCTCATCTAGTTTGCCAGGTAATTATGTGACTTGTCTCTTAATAGAAAGATTTAATTACTACTTTTTTGTTACCAAATACTTGGAGACTGTAAGTGAAGCTATTTGAGGGGGGAATGGACTATTAATCTAAAAATGTGTTTTACGTTACTTGCAGTGGTGTATTTTCAGAACTTATAGTACTTTGTCATGAGCCTCCAGAAGAGTTTGTTTTTCTGATACTGAGAAGAGGAAGCCTCATTTCAAATTTGTGATGCCTCTATCTTCATGTATTGGAAAAAAATCATTTAAAAAAATCCAGCTCTATGCTTTAATGGTGCAAGTGGCTTTTGCTGACTGACATTTTTTAAATTGGTAATTGGGAAAGAATCACTGCCCAAAGAGAAACTTCCACACAGTCTCGTCAGAGATTCAAAATGGGGATTCTGCTTCTGGGGCAAATTTTGTGTGCCTGCAGGAATATGCTCTGTTATTCTGTTTTGTCGTCTAGACAGCAGTCTTCAGTGGGCTGGCTGTGAGTGGGAACATACAGAGTCGTTTGTGGGAACAGTGTCATTTGTTGGAATTAAATGTTTAACAAGCATGACTAGTAAATGTCACATAGAGTTCCACTGTAAGCATGGTGGCTTCACTCTTATGTTCAGAAACATATGCTGTTTCTTCACTTTCTTTTAAACAGAATCTCAATCAAATCATTCTAATCAATCTGACAGTGGAGTTTCTGACACCCAGCCAACTGGACATGTCCGTTCCCAAAGTATTGTCAGCTCCATGTTCTCTGAGGCCTGGAAGCGAGGCACGCAACTGGAGGAATCCAGCAAGGTAACAAGAAGACTTTAGTTTGAGAATCAACACACAACAGAATGCACAAGACAGAGCATTACCTCTTCCACCTCTGTCTGAAGTGGGGATGGATTTTTCTCATCTTTTTTACTCTGTTATTTACATACACTGCCATGTAATTGGTTTGGTTTGTTTTTTTTTTCCCCAGGAATCACTTTTTCAGGGAATTCACTCATAGAACTTTCTGTTCTTGTTTTTATTAGTGTGCACAGAAGCCTTTTGGTCTTTGAAGGCATGCAACGGCCCTTCACAATAATCTTATGAATTAGCGTTGTATAAAGAACAAATAAAAAGATCAGCTGTTAAAAGCTAACACATGAAATTAATTCACTAAGATTTTCTTCTGTTAACTGGCCACATCTTTCCACTGTAAATTCCACAGACAACTGAGACCTGAAGGCAGGTACGCCTGTATAAGGCGCACTCTAGTAGTTTGGATTCCAACGTTTGGTATTATATTGTGTGGAAATGAAGGCGGTAGACACAAGTACTGTTAAGCAGCAGTATTAAAATCGACTTCGTTTGAGGTTAAAGACTTTATTTTCTGTTGCTGATAGAAAGTTACAAAAGACACTAATCCATTTACTCCTGGGGCCTGTGGTGATTTGGTTAGTTTTATGTCTAGTAGTTGACTGGTGTAGTGAATGCCTTCACAGATGGCAGAACCGTCCTTTCATCTGGTTGGTTGTGAGGCTCAAAGGAATTTCCTGAACAGCCATAATACTGGTATTAAGTGCAGCAGTTATGTACATTGCGGGAAGGTACCTTCACTCATGCAGTTTTGAATCTTTCTCAGACTGTAGGTTCAAGCCAGAGAAGCAGGTTTTTTAAAAGAAAACCATGGGTCACTACACCTGATGTTGGTGCATCAGATGAATAGCTAGAAATAAGACACAATGTTAATTACATGTACAAATGAAAAAGTACAGGTGGCGCAATGTGAAAACTGACTTGGCTGTTTTCTTTGAGACTTGGAAATTTTCTGTTAGTGTCTGCAGGCTTGGAAATTATCTCAATGTAATAGCAAAGTAGTACACAGCCCAGGAACATAGCTTGCTAAACTCTGACCCAGATTTTTCTGCTGCATGTGTGCAAAACCTGCTGCATGTTCATCAGCACATGGCTTGTGTATGTGTACAGGATGCATCATTTGTGCAGGGGCTGGGTGGATCAAAAAGACAGGGCATGTGAGTCTGTCTAGCATGTTATCCAACAGAGATGGAAGAGTACTGCTATGAGACTGTAATGTCAGTGTTTTCTGAGGTTTTGGTTTTCATACGAGATCTTGCTTCTTGCTTCTATGAAATTTTGGAGAAAATTTGAATTTTAGCACCTTGGACCACCGCTGTTCTTATCCAGTCCACAGTGCCAATGGCAATTGCTCATTTATTTACATAAACCCCAATAATTTTTGTTATCTGATTAAAGCATTTTTACAAATAAAATATTCAGACTATTCCCTATTAAGAGCCATCCATGTTTCAAGCTTTCATCAATTCTAATTCCTTTATTTGTACAAATTTACTACAAGGTGTATTTTTCTTCCTCACACATAGCACAGGTGAAGGGATCAAAGCAAAACATCCAAAGAATTCAAATGAAATTAACCTTGTAAAATTATTGAAAACCTTGAAACCATGCTAAGAAAATCCTGAGTAAATTGGTCACAAATTTAACTTAAGTAGAACTACAGTACTTTTTTTTTTTTTTTAACCTGTGCAGGTCTGGCCCAAGGAAGGGTTAACAACAGAAAATATTTAACTGTTAGGAGAAAGGAAACAACAGTATTGATACAATGTAATTGACGTGAAAAAGCACCTGCAATTGTAGAGCAGATTGCAGATTTGCAGACGGCAAACTGAGCCGTGCTGGTTTAGGGAGATCAGTCTCCAAACAGTATCTTCAGAGTTAGTAATTCTCCAGTGCTTTAGCTTTTGGTGACAGAGCTTGCTTAAGAAATATATAAAGGCAGGTTGTTGCAAGTGTCAAAATTAATGGAGGCTTGGCTTGTTCAGTGTGTCCTTTCCACTTCTGCAACTGTCTCTTCCCCATGTCACCCTTTTCTTACCTTCTTCAACAAGAAGGGCAGAACAGAGCACCTCTTGGCTCAGCAGGTTGATGACATTGAGGCTGGTCGGGATGTTGCACTGGTTGGTTCTGCCTGCTTTTCCCCCATTTAAAGGTGCAAATAATTTCACTTCCATTTTTTGAAGTTGAAAATATACTGAGATGTCATGTTTGGCTGAAATTGGCCAACCAGTCCAAAAGCAACTGTCACAGGAAGAGATTGCAAACAATTCAAATGCAAAAGCTTGTTTACTTAGGAAAAACAGCTGAAGAAACCTCACAGTTACTATTTTAAACAGTAGTTACTGTTATTTTTATAGGATTTTGGGGATTTCCAGATAGCCATGGTGATATATGATAAAAATATGAATTGAGATAGTATATCTGTTTCAAGGTTTTTCTATAAGCAAAGTCTGATTGAAATTTTTTTCTGATTGTGGAAATGTAATTTGCTTATATGAGAGTGGGAATAGATTGCCATCCTGCGGTACAGTAATCTTTCCCATTGCGTGCTCAATTTGCTCACTGTGAAAATGACTGTCTTCAATGGATGAGGTAAACCTAAGACTTAAGTGGCTGCCTTTCCAAAATGCCAGTCTGTCCAGTTCGTATTTTGAAAGGCTACTCTGCCTAAAGAATGCTGTGTTCACCCACACACATTCATCACAGCTGGGCAGTGAAAATCTCATTGTCTTGTTTTTCTTGTTAGATTTTGAAAATGTTATTTCAAATGAGATGCTACACATGGTGTCAAAGTGAGTGCTCTGTGTGTTTACGTGACAAGGCATGAGGGACAGCTCCCTGTTTCAGATTCTCTAAAATCTTGCTGTTCAGAGATAGCTGTTCTTTTATGTCTCAGTCTCCCTATTTGTTTTATGCTGCTTTTATTTTTCCTGTTGCCTTTTGCTGTCTCAGGTATCAAAAGCGAAGCTCAGCACAGCTAAGGTCAGCACACCCGTGGTGCCTTATACAGGGCAGAATTAAGGTCAGGGGCTGCTACTTGAAAATACATTAACTTGAGTGATTGGGAGAATGGTAATTACAGACTAACAATGCGCAAGAGATCAAGATTTCCCCTTGCTTGTGTGAACACGTTGAGGTAGCTCCCGAACCATGTACACTCTTGCTTTACATGCTTAATATGACAGGTAGAGGCACACCTACGTTAGTTGTAAATTACTATTTATTGTTTCTTACTCTAACATTTGTGTTATTCCTGTGCATATAGAAACTGCGCACCTGTGTTTAAAACAACTATAAGCAAGCTTATGCAGCACAAATGAGCATAATTGGGCTAATTTGTGGCATAATACATACCAGTGAAGTTAGGTACGGAGTGTGCTTAGTTGCTGTGTTGGTGTTATGTTTCTAATGCATGATTTTAAGCTGTACACTGTGAAGATGACAACTTGGCTTGTAGCAAAACCACTTTGTACTAGGTGATTGTAGTTCTGATAAACTTGAATAATGTCATTACCTTTTTAATTTTTAATTTTTAATAAGAATGTAGGTTTACAATTTTAGAGAAACAATTTAACAAGAAGAAAACCCAATAAGTAGACTAAAGCATTGCCTGCTGCTTTTCCATTGCTGTTTCACTTATACAGTTCTCCCCAGTCTTTCTTTTTTCTAATGACATAATAGCTGCATGCCTAGCTTTTCCAAGCTAACTGTCTCTAAGCGTTTCCTTCTGGGGAAATTTTCTTAGGAGACTTCATTACTCCCTCTTTCTGCTCTTTTTTTTTTTTTTCCCTTGACAGCATTTGATGTCAGAGCATGTGGAATAGAAGGATCTCAGAATCTCCATAGAGCTTGCTCTTCATGTGTTTTAGAGCAGTTCAGGATTTCTGCGCTCTGTAATGCTAAGCAGTATTAAGGCCTAAGCTAACAACACGAAGGCTTGCCAGATGCTCAGGGAGGCCTGGGTATGGTTTAACTCTAGTTTTACTGAGTGAAAAGATGCCTGCAGGCTCTTGCTCTGCATGGTGTCATTTGTTGTGGCCAGGAGCACTCTGGGCAACGTTCAGTCTGGTTCATTATGCTTGCTCACAGGAGGATCAGTGATTCGCACTTGGTACAGCTGCCTGTCCCCCAGAAAAAAAAACCTATTTTCTTCCTGCTGTTCAGCATAGATTGAAGTAGACCTGGTCCCGGTGATTCTTGCCAGCTCCCCCTACCGGCCTGGCTGGCCATACTGTACAGTTCAGGCTTGTCAGGGTAAAGGACTATCTCTTGCTGCGTTGTTTTCCTAATATTCCTGCATGCTATAATCCTGCCACTTAATTTTTAATGATAGGTTCATTTAGATCTTGACTTCATAATCTCTTTGTCTCCCTCCCTCCCTTCCTCTCTATCTTTTTCTCCCTCTCTACTTTCACTAAAAATCCCTTCTAAATAGGTGCGAATGGAGCCTGCAGGTCGGCCCTTCATCTCTGTTGCACCTCCTGTGTCCCCACAGACAAAAGTGGTGACCCCCTATTCAGCATCACAGCCATCCCCCCCACTACCCCCTCCCCCCCCTCCTCCTCCTCCGCCACCACCTCCTCCTCCTCCTCCGCCACCTCCGCTCCCCAGCCAGGCCGCCCCATCTGCTGCCTCACCTGCTGCCATGTTTGTTAAGTACAGCACCATCACCAGGCTGCAGAATGCTGCCCAGCACGGTGGGCCTTTTTCCAAGGCCCCTGCTGCTGCACAGCAGCCCCCCCTGCCCCCTCCATCCTCAGGCAAGCCTCAGATACTGGTGCCGCCCAATGGAGTCATGCCACCTCCCCCCCCTCCTCCTCCTCCCCCCACACCGGGCTCAGCCATGGCACAACTGAAGCCGGCACCTGTTGCCCCCTCTGTACCACAGTTCACACCTCCACCACCCCCTCCCAAAATCCATCAGGTTCAACCAAATGTAAGTCAGGTGGCTGCTGCTGCCTCACCATTGCCACCACCACCTCCCCCTGTGCCTGCCCCACCACCACCCCAAGCACCCCCAAAGCCTCTCATGACAGCTCTCCCCCCACAGCCTAGCAGGAAGGCAGCGTCACCAGGGGTCTCACACATCACCTCCCCTGTGCCAGTTCCCTTGCCTCTTGCAAGTAAGAAACAGCCAAGTGTCACATCTCCCCAGGTGCCTCCGCTGCCCCCGGCCCCTCTGGGCCCCACTCCTCCCCCAACATTTCCAAAGCAGCAGAGTTTTTCTATGAAGCCTCCCCCATCACCTCAATCCCCAGTGCTGTCAGTAGTGAAGCAGATAGTCAGCCAGTTCCCACCTCCTCCCACCCCACCTGCCACTGAGCCCCAGCCTCTGAAACCCCTTCCTTTGAGTGTGGCTCCCCAGTCACCTCCAGCGGTGAAGGCAAAACCCAAATGGCAGCCTGCCTCTGCTCCCTCACCGGATTTCCCACCTCCTCCACCAGAGAGCAGCTTAGTGTTTCCTCCTCCGCCTCCTTCCCCAGCTACCTCTGCAGGTTCTCCCCCCCCTGACAAATCAGGGTCTCCAGTCAAAAAGACCAGCAAGACATCAAGCCCTGGAGCAAAGAAACCACCTCCAACACCTCAGCGGAACTCCAGCATCAAGTCCACCAGCTCCACTGAGTACAGTGAGTCCAAGAGACCTTCAGTGGACCACCTTGTCAGCAAATTTGCACACCCACCAGAGCCATCAGGGTCTCCATCAAAGGAGTCATCACCTCCTGTGGCCCCTCCAAAGCCCGGAAAGCTCAATCTCTCTGGTGTGAGCTTGCCCATCGTCCTTCCGCAGGGAGGGATCCCGGCCAAGGCTCTTGCTCCAGGTGTATCAGGGAAGGAACCTATGGTTGAATTTCCTTCTCCGCCGTCGGATTCAGACTTTCCACCACCACCACCTGAAATAGATCTTCCTCTCCCCCCCGTTGAGATACCATCCGTGTTTTCAGGCAGCACTTCTCCAAAAGTTGCTGTGGTCAACCCTCAGCCTCAGGCGTGGTCGAAACCATCAGTTAAAAAAGCTCCACCACCCACACGTCCGAAGCGGAACGACAGCACTCGGCTGACACAGGCAGACGTCGCAGAGTCACCGGCAACACCTGGCCCCCAAGTGCCCACTTCACCCAAGTCTAGCCTTAGCGTTCAGCCAGGATTCCTGGCAGACCTCAACCGGACGCTGCAGCGGAAATCCATCACCCGGCACGGCTCCCTCTCCTCTGCCCGGATGTCCAGAGCAGAGCCCACTGCCACCATGGACGACATGGCCTTGCCGCCGCCCCCACCGGAGCTTCTGGCCGATCAGCAGAAGACGAGCAGCTTCGGGGGCAGCCACATATCTGGCTATGCAACATTACGGAGGGGGCCACCCCCCGCGCCTCCCAAGAGGGATCAGAACACTAAGTTGTCACGGGACTGGTAGTCGGTCACCCAGGGCCGGTGCTCTCCATGACTTGTGGCTGCTCTGTGACCAGCCAACCCGTGATGTTGTGCACTTGGAGAGAATGTGGGGACGTGGATAATAGCCCTGTCAAAAGAGGTGATCTCAAACTGTAGTCAAGGCTAAAGATAGACATTCCCCCCTTATGGCTAGGCCAAAACAGTTGGGGGCAGGGGGTTGTCAGTATTTTATTGGGGGAGGTGGGTAGAGAGGTGTTGACTTAACATTTTCAATTTCTTTTACCCTTCATATGGATTGGACCAAAATCCCTTTTTCTTACTTTTTCTGCATTTGGGGGGGAAGATAATTTTTTGTAGTGTCTGTCCATGTGAGACATGTTTGTGCATGTATTATAAGTGTAGGTATATAATATATTGTGATATATTTCATTGCAATTATAGAAGATAACCAGAATGTTTTTGTAGATCCGTATTTATTGTTTCAGTCGCTATGTTATTGGGAATCGGACTCTGTAACCAATCTGATTGTAAAGATGAAACTGTCGGGGGCACTTTAAAGAAAGAAGGAGAAAGGAAGAAAGGAAAAAAAAAAAGCAGGGAAAACAAACAAACAAACAATTTGGCAGTTTGTGATGGGTAAATGGTGCAGAGTTGAGTCTGCTAGTAACTGCACGCTGGTCATTGATTAAAAATGCAAACACAACATACCAAAACATTCTGGTCATAATACTACTGAAAACGAGTATGTTATGAGGAAGAAAATAGATTTTATATATAGTGGGCTGGAGTGAAATATATTTATACTATAAAGAACCTCCCCCTTCCTTCCAAATAGTTTAAAAATATACACTGCTACAAATTAATTTGAAGTTATTTGTCCATGAATAACTAGGAGAAGTACATCTATTCCAATCCATTATGCATCTTGACTTTATAGTAGGCTTGATCATTTGTTTTTATGACACAAGGTGACTATTTCTGTTAACCCCTTCTGAAAGCTGCCAGGACTCCTGCAACCAGTGCCGACCCACAAGGCTGACCCCTGTGGATGCACCACTTGTACGTGTAACTCTTTCCCTGAACAAACAGGTAGGTTTTGGCAGTGTTACGTTCTCAACTGAACATACCTAGCGCAGTCTCATGCTGTCTGTGCCCAGTAAGATGTGTTACCGTTACAGAAACAAGTGTCTGGAAACAGTTAAAAGTACTGTTTGTAATTCATTAGTAGCTGTCAGAAAATATTACTTTCTAGAAAGAGAGAAAGTATTGGTAACTTGAGGCAAACACAGCTGCAGTTTCTTTTCTCTGACGTACCAGGAACTGTGACCAACACATAGAGCTGTTAATTATGAAGTTGTACTTCTAACAGCCAAGGGGAGGACTGGAAAAAAAAATCTTTGAGAGGCAATAATGTTTGCAGACAGTTTTAAGGGGCTGCATGAGTAGGAAATATTTGCTTTGGTGTTTTTTTTGTTTGCCACAGAGTCACAATCACGGCATCAGGTACCACAGTCCTTTTTTTGTACTTTGGAAGTTTCACGATGCTGCTTTAGCCATGGTTTGGACACAGTAAGTTAGTGCAGTTAGCGTAAGTGCTCTTGTGTGTTATGCATGCTCCGTACAGGGTAGTGGTATACAATCTATGTAGGTTAAGCAGAATATCGGGCCTGTACCCAGGTCATCCTTGGTTGTTACAACTTCCTTGGTCACAACAGGGATGCTGTCAAGGCTCAGATGTCAAAAGGATTTTATTATTGTTTACCTTTTCTCTAAAAGCAAGTATTATTACATGCTTTCCTTCCCACAAAAAGTGAAACAAAGGCAGTAGTTTAACCTGACGGTGTCTTCAAGCGTTAAAGTAAGGTACAAGCTAAGCTCGTGGTAGAGAAATTCTGGCTGATAGAAATATTGTGAGAGGGCTTGCTGTTCCTTTTTTATAGTTTTTTAAAAATCTAAATAATAAAATAAATGTCTTTGTGAATAATTTATCAATAGGAAAAAGTTTGCCAATTAGAAGGAAAAATGACGCATCTATAACTATATAATTTTAAATAAGTGCATCATGAAAAGAGAAAAATCAATGGTGCTGTTTCTGCCTTCCTGTTTCATATCCCTTCTTGAAATCTCTTTCAGCACCTCTGGAAATTATTTTAGTATTTCAGACTAGTTTTTTTGAGCAATAAGGATATACCATTGTGTGCATTTTTAAAGCACTGCTGTGGAAAGGCACTTTTTTTCTATCTTTCAGATTGTTCGCAAATTTCTGTTTCTACTACTTTTGTGCTTATGAAGTGTCCTTAAAAGCATTTATGTTGTTGATTTTGAGCATAGTCAGTATAGCTGGCTAATAAGTTAATAGAAAAATTGTTAAGCTATACTGGAATTCATGGGTGCTGTAATTTTCTACGTTGGTCCTTCTGCTGCTTTGTACTGTATACAGCTCCAGGGGCTCGTACCCACCAGTGGTGCAAAATGTGTGCAGACACAGTTACAACTCCCCAGCTGATACTGGCAGTAGGCAGGTGGCACATTCTCTGCTCCCTGGTAGGGTGCAAATGTGAGTTGATGCAGTGCGTGCTCCCAGACGAGAGCAATCAGGGAATTCTGCTTATCTCCTCTTTCTTTCTCTGCAAAACAGTTCTGTTGGTGTGTGATGGTTCCATTTTTTTTTCTTCTGTTCATTCAGTGCAGGTGCCTCTGGGATTTGCATTTGGCAGAGCAATGTTTTGAGTGCAGGTTTTTCTGAGGTGTTTGAGCTTTGTTCTTTTAATGTTCCTGTGCCCGAGTTCATTTACCCACTATCTCCCACGAGACGGTAAATCCATGCTTAATTTTGCAGGCTACTAAAGAGCTTGCTGGGAGACAGAAATTGAACACCAACTTTACAGCACAAAGAATGAGCATCAGCAAAGGTGGCACCCTTCTTAGTACAGCTTCCTTCATTAGTAAGTAGTCATATAGAAATATAGCAAGTGGCTGCAGCTTTCCTTCTGATGAGCACTGAAATCTGGATACAGAGTGGTTTGGAAAATCTGGATGCCTTTTCTCCTTCTGAGACCTGTTGACATAACTTGCTTTTCTAGTGTATTTACTGCTTTTATGACAGCACATCTGCATGCCTTATTTACAAGCTGTTTTTTGCCCTTGTGCACTGGTTTCAGAATTCTACCATTTTCTTTGCTAAAATCATCAGAAAACAAAGGAGCCAAATTTCAGACATGCAGGAAGATGCTTCTTGCTGCAAATGCGGGGCTATGTTTTGGCACTGTTCAAATGAACAAGTGAGGGCCGAGCTAGCACCCTCTGTACACAAAGATGGCACATGGTTTCATCCTAGAATGCTGAAAATGGATAGCCCTAATTACATGTATGTGTACAATTTGACTCAATGTCAGGGAAAGCCTTGCTTCTGCAGGAGTTGGTGAAAGCAGATAGTGGCATTCTGCACACTCTGTTCCAGTGCCTGTTCTTTCAGATTTCCTCCAGTGGTGACATCTGCCTCTACGGGTAGCTGGGCTCTGTTCATCCAGCAGAGAGCAGAGTTCACTCCGTGTGGTGTGGGCATAGAAAGCAGGGGCTCACTGACTTCCCTTTAATTCTGCTCTTGGGGGATTGCTTTTGAAGGGAAAAACTAGGCTCTCCTAACAGCAGTAACAAGAGGAGAGAAAAGATGTAACAAGAAAGCTCTTTAGCAAGTGGTTCTAAACAAATAATTGGTAATACGTTTGAGATGGACGTGCCAGTCTTCTGTTTTGCCTTTCAAACCAGGAAGGAGGCACAAGACCCACAAAAAAGAAAGTAATCTAGTTATTTCAATTCTTTACATGGAAATTACCTGCTTTCCTCTGCGCAGTAGCTTCCTCGTGCAACAAAAGACTACTTGCTCTAACGTGGTGCACAGCCCCAAAGCCAAAGAGCTCCTCTCCTGAACTTACTGTGCAGTGTCCTGCAGAGCACCAGGGAACGACAACAAGGTACCTGAATCACTTTGTCTTCAGGACTAATGGGAGAGGGAGCAATTTTTTAACAAGTGCATTTTAAGATTTACTGTTGTGGAGTTGCACGTGTGGAGTTTTGTTGTTGTTGTTTTCCTAATTTCTTTGTTCTGTGCTCTTAGGCAACCAGGTAGCACAGATCAGAGTGGCCAGTCTTGCTCTGGGTTAAAATTATTTCTTTACACAGTTAAAGGAACCAAAAGTGCTGTTTCAACTGCAGAAGGGCAAAAAAGATTTTTTTTCTGCTTATTACAGAAAACTGCATAGATTTAAATTGTTGTACAGTAGTAAAGCAGTACTACAATGCAGTAGTGCCATTACTGGTAAAATTCTCTTATTCAAAGTAAGATAAATGGGTCTTACTTGAGCATTACTTCCAGTAGTGAGTCACATTAAAATCAGTTGCATCTCCTTGATTAATTGGGACATTGTATGGCTTTAACTATATCTTGAGAACATTTGCTGTGGTAGAGAATAAGATTTACCATCTGAAAATATTGCTAACATAGAGCCAAATTCCTAGAGCTGTAGTGGTATTTTTATTCAATTTGTTACCTGCAGAATTTTCAACACTTGATGCTCTTCCTGGTTTTTAGTATTTACTTCCAAGTAGCAGCAGTAGTTTGTAAAGGTATTTTCTGTTTGGCATAAATATGCTGATAAGATGGAAGTCACACACGTGTGCTTTCTTGCAGTTCTGTCTCAGTCCAAACATGAGCAATGTGAACTCCTGCCAGAATGTAGTAAAGACAGTGAAGATGTGATCAGAACAAATGAGCATTTTTGTTTTCTTGGTGGTGGTTTTTCCTTTTTTTTTTTCCCCTCTCATTGTGAAGATGTAGAGTTATATTCTTGTTCAAACAGTGCTCCTGACCTGGGGACAAGGGCAGTTTTATTTCTTTGGTTGTAGGAGCTTCCTTATTTGTGGCTCCTGGTGTTCAGTTTTGTGTTCCTTTTTTCACTTGGAGTAGACTGCAATCCAGAGAGCATTTAACACTACAGCTTTCCCTTACAAGCTTCTATAAAATGCTGGTGCTTTTTAAACTTTCTATTTTAGAAGTATAAGTACATTTTTCTAAAACAATTTTCCTTTCTGAATTCCTTTTCTCCTTTAGTTAAAAAAAAATAAGTGACAAAACCAGCATTACAGTGCAGGGGTCAGCACTCACTAATACTGCAATCCAATGAGACACAGGCTTTGTCTAGTTTTGAAAAGTTTTAAGCCACTAAATTGCAAATGATTGGCCATCATATGTAAAATTAAAGTAACTGCCACTAATGTGAGAAAAATAAGTAGGACAAGGATTCAGTGAGCTCTGTTTGTGGGAATTGTATGTCCTCAATGAGGAGAGCTAGAGAAGAACTGGAAGGAACAGGAGCTGGTGCTGCATCTATGCCCAGTCCCCTACAGCAGGAATTTAGTGAGGGGAATGAGTGAGAAGAAACTGGAACAACAGATTTTGGAAACCCCCTTAAGTGTTAACACTTAAAGGCAACCTGTCTGTTGCACTTTGGAATTGAACCAACTGTTCCTTGGAGTGGAAAATAGTTCTCTCTCACTCAGGAATTCCGAAGATGCCAAAGATGCATTCAGAGCTACATTTCAGGTACGCAGATGTGCTTGCAGCAGCTGCTCCTGAGGCTAAGCTGCCAGGGGCTGCAGCTGCTGTGTGGCAGGAGAGCAGGGCTGCTGCTGTCAGCTGCCCTGCAGCCCTTGCTTTGACTCACCATTGTAGGTAAGTGAGTACAGAGTACAGACGTGCAAGGGGCGTGGGCAAAGGCCGGTTTAGCTAGAGAACCTGTGCTCAAAGACTCCCTTGTTGCTAATTTGGTGCAGCACTTTTTAAATTAAAAGTAAAAGGAAAATCAATACTTTCACAAGTTACAATTGTAATCTTAGCTTTCGTCCTAGTGGACTGCCATGGAGCAGAAATTAACTGGAGCAGCGGATTGTTTTATGGCTTACAGTAACTACTGGTAGCAGCCACTAGTGATATCCTGTACGATACTGGGGATGCAAATGTAAGAAGAAAGTGTCACTGCAATGATGATCTGTCTATACAGCAAACTTGTGATGAGTGCTGTAAATACATTCATGTTTACTGCTTTAAAAAAGAAAATTGCACATTCTGTCTTTCAATGGGATTGCCTCCCCTCTTCTTCCCTTTCCAAAAAAGAAATATCAAAGCTCTTTTAGACTGCTAGCTTCAGGTTGGGGGGAGCTTTGCCATATTATAAATATATATAAATATATGTATAAATATACTTTTTTAAGCATGAGAGAGGACAAAAGAAATACATTATAGAGTACCCAATATAGATCATTATACAATGGAATATGCACAATTCAATAAAGATGTAGTTAAATTTAATAATTTGTTTTAATCCTCTGTCTTGCCCTTTTCCTTCTTCAGAACCCACCTTCTGTTCTCAGGGCAGCAGCAGCTCCCTTTTACAGGGCTCCTGCTTTGCTACAGGTTGCTCATTCTTGATAAAATTACTACTTATTGTTCCTTTGCACAGCTCTTTCCAGTGGATCAGAGCTGGCTGTATCAGTAGCATTGTACATAGCAGCCACAGGTCTAAAGAAGACCCAGAGTGTAAGCTCACCTTTTCCATCTGCCTGTTCCCTCAGATGTGCAAGGTCCTGGCATTACTCAGTTCAGCTCTGCTCAAACAGCTGATGGCTGGTAAATGCTGGTGCAGCCCTTCACTGGGGTCCACTGCAGGGAATTCATTATGCTGTACACCATGGGGGATGCACAGAGGCTGGTTGTGCAGCACTTGTGAGCTGCTACTGCAGGGATTTGAAAATTAAGATTAAAGAACTCACACTGAATTCCTGCTCATGTAGGAAGGGCACTAATTCTGAGAGGCTCTGAGGTACTTGGGCTTACATGTAAAACTGAAGTCATTTCTGCCTTGAGCCAAAAGCTGCAGCAGTACAGCAGTACCAAAACCAGAACTCAGCTGCATGAACAGAACTTGAACCACAAGCAGAGCTGCCTGCACCACAGGGAAATCAATTGGAGTGTCATGGCCCCAGGTCACTCATGTCATCACTGAAAGAAGAGAAGCTGTTTGTTCTTGCAGGTCTCAAGGAAGTAAGCTCTGCCTGAATGCTGGAGATGCAGAGTGGTGTTTAGGAAAGGTGAACAAGAACACTCCAGTCAGCTCAGAAGAATCTTAGCCTAAAAGTAAAGTTGTTACTAGTGAACAGCAGCTCAGAGCTGTGAATGCAACATGAGCATCCGTGCTGGAAGAAGAAGCTGGTGTCCTAGCACTGGCCAATTACAGGAAATACAGTCACAGAAGTGGAGACATGAGCTGCTGAAGGCTGCCAGCTGGATGCCAGTATTCAAACCTAGGCTGGGGGAAGAGCTGAGCTCACCTTCTCTGAACAGGGCTCCTGTATACACAAGCCACGTCTCCCCATCCCTCAACACGTTTCAAAAAGCCTGTAACAAGAGAAGGAAAGTGACGCAGTGGTGGCACACTCACAGAACACAGTGTGTGCTTTGTTCCTTTTATTCAGGGCTTGTAACAAGAGGGTTTAGTACACAGCAACAGTTAATTCCAAGTACAATTAAAAAAATTTAAAAATTGGGTTTTGCACTCACTTGGAAGATGGTTCAAATGGCACACACAATAAAACGTTACCGGCAGCACGCAGCTCCCCAGACTCTTGCAGGCTCGATCATTTACAGTGGGCTCTGCACTTCTCCACTGCATCAGCAGCACCAAAAATCAAAAAGCACAGAGTGCTTCCCTTCCAACTGCAACCCAAATGTGTGTGAGGGGGGGTTCTGCTTGCAGAAAAGTACATGGACAAAAAAAATCCATGTTAGACACTAACATTTCCAGAGAATTCATAGAAACTACTTGTCCATGCAAGTTGCAAAAGACACTTTTTCAAATGTGAAAAGAAGCACTTGGGCTTTCCAAAAAAAAAACAAACAAAAAAACAAAACAAAACTCAGATGTCAGCACTTTAGCAAGGCGCTGTAATGGAAATGAATTTGTACACAGCTCTTCCTCATTTTGTAAATAGAAGGACTTTTCTGAGGTTTTAAGAGAAACAGGAAACGTACTGCCACCACATACCTGTCCAGCAGGATGCTGGGTGTAGGCTTACCTCTGGCCAACAGGCTCCTGCTGTCTTTTTACCTTCTTGCAACCCATGTTGGAATAAGCAAAGGTGTTAATGAGGACGTTCAGAGCACCAAAGAAAACAAACAGTTCCTGCATTTGCAGAAAGTTGCACAAAACACATTGCTGCTTTGAATTAATGCAGAACATCATGGTTTGAATTACTTGCAACAGCAGTTGGCAAAACTTGGCTGCATCAAGTGCTCAGCAAACCTTCCCACAGACAGGAGATGAGGGTCACACTAGTTGCACAATCGTAAAAATCAAGATGACTGTTGCTACGCACCAACCAGCTATTGAAAAGAAAAAAAGTTCCCTCTTGCCCTATTCTGACCTCTGTATAACATACCATTTTAGCCACAAAATGTGGCTGTGCCTAATACTGAGTGATGCCAAAGGGTGGGGTAGGTGGAAAATACATTGTAAGCACAATAAATTCTTGAACGTGGCTCCCTATAAGCTATAGTCCATCACCTACCTTCCCATGCTGTTTGTTTTACAACACTGCCTCTTCTCAACATGAAGTATTTGCCTTTGTGAATGCAACAGTTCTGCACGTTTCCCACTGCCACTGTTGTTGTCAACATAGGAACTAAAGCCTCTGCATGGATTTTGTAACATTTCATTAAATACTGCAGTCCTCCACACTCAGCAAACCCAGTTGAAGCCACAGCACTACACTCTTTCCAACAGCATCCTCTAACAGCTTCCAAAAAAGTTGTACTGATGCTGCTGCTGGGTACCAATCAACAAAAAGTCCTGCCCTTGCCAGAAGGAAAAGGTAAAAGTTCACCTCCTACAAGCACACCGTCTGTTTCTTCCCCCTTGAGCAGCTACCGCTTCTCCCTGAGCGAGTCTGTACCAAACGTGCGCCTCCAACCTGGCACTGCACTGCTTACCAAGGAGGGGCAGGGGGCTCGTGTTAAGTTTTGCATTTGATTTACGTCTGATGCTCATTTCTAGGGAAGAAGTGCATCTGCAGCATTTGCTAGGAACTGGTGGAAGCTGCTGGGAAAAGCACAGCAATAACCTGCCTTCCGGCATAGGCACAAGATAGCACAGAAGCACAGCAGGCTGCACCAGCACACCCCTCCTCCATCAGGGGAACAGCAGGCAGCACACCCTCTGCCAGAAAAAGACCATCAGTCCTGCTACTGCTTCTCTTCTCAAGCCCATCTAAAGCATCCTAAGTAAAAATGCCACTTTGCAGAAGCTGCGTTGTTGCCAATTGAACTTTGGTTATAGGCTGTCACAAAAGTGCTGGAGAACCACACCAGGCAGGGGGCCAAGCATTCTGCCTACTTGCAAACAGTAAGGTGGGGCTACCTCGACAAGACCAGTGTGCTGGTGCAAGTAGAAGACATGCACATCCTCTTAGTCACAGAAGCACTGCACCGGGAGAGCCCTTGGCAGCAAAGAACATTCTCAGGAGGTGTGAGAAGTGAACAAACCGCTGTGGCGAGTGCTCACTAGTTCTCTGGTAAGCCATCCTGCCAGAGCCTCCGTGGACTGTGCAGGAGCTGAGGTGCAAACCAGCAGCAATCTCCAGCCATTTCAAGGAACTTCCAGCTCAGCTGCTTCCTTGCTAGCGCATACCACAAAGACAGGCTGAGTCCCAGGGCCATGCTCCACCTCTTGTCCTTCACAGGGAGCAATGGCTCCTAGTGCCTGTTCTCTGGTGCCTGCTCCAGCTGTTGGGCATAGAAGCACCATAGGGATGTCAAGCATAAAATAGGCTGCTTGCTTTTCCTGCCCCTCTCACCCCTCTAGGGCAACAAAGAAAAAAGAAAGAAGAAACAAAGATGATAAGGACAAGGAGAAAGAAGAAAAAGATAAAAATCAATGGGTGAGATACATGCAACCTTAGCCACCTTGATGCTGAACACATATTAAAATAGTCTGCTTCTGCACTATCTGGGGACAGTCTGTGACATCCTTTCCACACAGGCACATGTCAGAGGGGCAGCTCTAGTTAATAGATTTGTCCCAAGAGGGCTGACAGCAAGGAAGAAAATCTCTGCTAGAGCAAATCAAAGCAGAAGCTGCAGCTAGAGTCCTGCCTGTTTAAGCACAATGAAAGCAGCTGGCTGCAGGCAATGTAGCTCTCAAGAAGGGAGAAAATGTTTCTTTTGGCCATGTAGCACTCTGGGCTATTCTGTAGTGTCTCCTTCTGCCAGCTCTCTGGCATGCATACCCTCTGCTCTGACTGACAGCTGATGCTGAACATCTCCAGGTGTGGTAGAACTCAATGAAGAGAAGTTTGCACCTACAAGGGTGTTGGTTTTTTTCTTCCCACTTCCCTCAACCCCCTTTTAGAAGGAAACGTAAAGAAAGTGGGGAAGGAAGGTTTCTAAAAAGGAGATGTACAAGGGACAAAATTAAAAACACAACCCTCACTGACTTTGACTATGCTAGCATGCAGTCTAGGCAACATTAATACAAAAAGCTTGTTTACCTTGGCCTGGTCTATGAACATAACATCACATCATCCCCAAACAAACTACAGAATTAAGATCTGTACAAAATAAAAAGTATGCATAAAACTCTTTTCTTTGCATTAGTACTGCATAATAAAGCATAAAACCAGCAGGAGGTGACCCAGAAATTCCATCCACAGCAGCTCTTAGAGAACAAAAAACTAAATGCTATCAACAGAGACCAGACTAACCTCTCAAAACCAGCCATGGAGCTTCCCACATTTCACCTTCAAGGTTTTGCAGTTTCATCTTCTGTCCTGAGCTCCAACAAGTACGCAGCACTTTCTGGAGTTCACACTGCTCTGCTTTGGCAGCTCTCAACACACGAAACTTACATGATACACAACCAGGTGAGTGTATCACACACTATGCAAGTACACACAGCCACCACCTGTCTGTCAGAAGTATTCAACAAGCACATGCTCTTGACAGACTGAGTTAAAGACACATTCCACCAATTCATCACCTCCCAGCTGGAATGTGGGTGCACAAGAAGAGAATATTAGCTGTCATGTAGTAACTCATTAGGCTGCCATAACTCAGTACATTTGAGCACTGTGTGCTGTCATCACCAAAAACACAACCAGGACAGAAGAAGCCAGGGAAGCTTTGACGGTCCTGGAAAACACAATTCTTTGGTGCTGAGGGGGTGGCTCTGGAGCACTGCTGCAGTGCAGTCGCCCCACTCTCTAGCCAGGCTGCAAGAACCACTGACCTGTGCAAAAAGTGTAGGCACAACCCGTGATGCTGGAAACACACATCCCAGCTACAGCACAACCAGTGTTTGTAGGTGTGCTCCTAGAGAAATGATGGGCTGAAGGAACTGAACGTGGCTTCTTCCGCTGATCTTGCTGTAAGACAGAAGCTTTTGCAAAGGAAAGTAGAAAAGCATCTCTCCTGGCTAACATCTATTCCAAACAGTAATGCTGCCAACTTCCAGAAAGAAAAGACTAGTGTTTTGGCTACACAGCTGTGGACTGAACAGGGGAGAAAGTAACTTCTATGTTTGCACAGGTTCCTTCAAAGCAGTACTTCTTGTAGGCTTCCACTGAGCTTTACTCACTGTCACAGGATTAACACGCTCTTCTGCGAGCTCACAGCAGGTGATCAAGTTCACTCACCTCCTACAAGCACACCGTCTGTTTCTTTCCCCTTGAGCAGCTACCGCTTCTCCCTGAGCGAGTCTGTACCAAACGTGTGCCTCCAACCTGGCACTGCACTGCTTACCAAGGAGGAGCAGGGGGCTCGTGTCAAGTACCCAGCCCCACTGCCAATATCATCACAAACTCAGCGCCGGCAGTGCTCTCTGTACTGCTGTTTTACACACAGGCTTCAGAAGAAAGCTGCAGCACTACCTTGCCTTTGACAGTTAGTGTTGGCTGGAACCTGGTCAGATGTCAGTCGGGACTGTGTCCCTGGCCCAGGAGGCTCCGGCAGTACAGAGGTCAGCTCCACTTGTGGAGCAGCAGGACAACAACAGGAGGTTTAATCGGTTTGTCCTGATAATGCATGACATTCAACCAAAGGCAGCATTTAGTCCTTCCTGAGGGCAGACTAGCATAGCCATCATTTTACACTGACGATCACAGAGCAGCATTTTTAACAGAGACTTAAAAAGCAAACTATCAGCCCAGGGCCTCCACTTGTTATTACTCCACCCTGGATCCACAAGTACAGTTAAAATACCTATTTCTTCATAATAAACATTGGAGAAGACTAGGAGAAGAGCTAGGACTACTTCTAGTTACTGCTTGGATTTCCATGGGAAACCAGTACACAACAACAGCCCTTTTTACTTCCACTTAAGAGATTTTGGCAATAGACATGAAGACGACAATTGCCGTTTGTCCTGCCTCCGCACAGGGCTCTCAAAGTACATATGCAAATCTAGTCATCAAGTACAAAAAAGCCAATTTACAATACCTGATTGGATTTTTAAGATTATATTGTGCATAAGACTAAAGTTGGGGGTATGTTTCTCTAGTGCAAGCAGGTGTGAGTAGATCTGAACCTTAGATCACAGCTCCTAGAGTTTATCCTCAGACCCCAGGAGGACCTGTAAATTTCACCTTCACTGTCAATGGCATCTGTGAGTTCCAGACAACCCAGCAGCACCCATGGCAGGTAGCTTGGTGTGGAGCAGCACATTCACATCAGCGCATGACCAAAACCAAACCTGTTGCATTCAAAAGATGAGGAGATGGGGGCGAGGGTCCTCTGGGCTGCAGCCATCAGAACTGTCTAAACTAAAGGGTGAGTGAACCAAAGCCAGCTCTGCGTGCCTGTGTCAGCCTATAAAAGCAGAGCAGCTGCAGAAGTATTTTTGCTAAAGATGGAATCAACTGTAAGGAAGTCAGATACATGAACAACTTTGCATACAAATCCCTGTGTTTGCTAACACACAAGCATTTTTCCAGCTGCACAGGAGTGTAGTGTAGAAGAAAGGACATCCACCAGCCAGCAACCCTTCACCACAAGCATCCAGGACATCCCCAGTGCCAGGCACTGCTGCCAAATGTAGTGCCACCATGGTGCACAGGATTCCTGAGAGAGATCCCAGAGCCTGTCAAGAAGTCAGAATGGGAGTGAAGGACATAATAGCTAATCAATGAGTTTGTTAGATCTGAATGGGTCAGCTTACTTCAGCATCAGATTGCTCACGATAGCCTCTGCTGGCAACTGGAAGAGCCGTTTGTTCAAACAACTCAAAACACTACTGTTTTATAATGAGGAGGAAAAAAAAAAAAAAAAAAAAAAAAAGAGTGGTTGTTACAATTATCCTTCATTCTGCTATTTTGGATGGGGCCCCAGAGGCTGGTAGAGATGAGGAAGCCCTGACAGCTCCTGCAGCAGGAGACGCAGCGCTCTGTCCTCTAGTCTTCACTCTGAGTAATGCATGATGGACTCCACATAGTTCCCTGGGAAGAGCCCCGTCACTCCATTCATGACCCCTTCGTACCAACCATCGTCATTCTTCTTAATGACATAAATGATGGCACCTTCCTGAAATGAGAGCTCATCTTCTTTGTCCTTCGTGTAGTCATAGATGGCTACCACTAGAAAAGAACAGAGGATGGTCTGTTAGAAGAAGTACAAGCACACACCTCAGTCACCTCCACACTTAGATCTATACAATGCTCAAATGCAGTTCCCTTACTTAATGTCATTCCCATGGTACGTAATAGCAATGTAAGTGAAAACAAATTATGAAATAGAAAAAAAAAGGCAGCACCTCTCTCTAAAATAAAATGCATGCCTACTATATCAACATCTTTTTTATACAGGAACAAAAGAACTTTATCTTACTAAACAGATGAAAGCTGCTTCAGAAAGTCAAAGAAATGCAGTAAAACAACATTGGCAAATACCAAACACGGAAGGTCCGTGCGCATCACATACAGCGAACTTTCCAGTCTTGCCTGTGTAGTTGTTAAGAAGTTTTATAGGGAAAAATAATATATACATACATATAAGTAGCTACATACATAAATACATACAGCATATCTACATACGCACATACCTACAAAAGAAGATATACAATATACCCAAGAGATGCATCACGTACGTACACCACTAAAAGGAAGAACTCATGTGCCTTGCAGATGCTGTGCTTACTGACCCCTTGTAATGAGGCCATTATAAGAGGCTGCACGTCCACACGTTTCTAAGATTCTTGGTGCACTTCCCAGGCCCTGTACCAGGGGTCCACGCATGTCTCTAAGGCACAGGCATGATTCTAAAAGATAAGTGCCTGAGTCAAACTCATCCCCCTTGTAAGTGAGCAGAGAGCACACCCACTGTCTTAGTGTCAAGAGTCACACGGCTGCCCCTTAGGAAGAGGGGCACCAGTTCTGTGCATCTGTCAGAAGCAGTTTGAACGGCCATGCATACAAATTGCCTGTACAAAACGAATCGCACTGTTCCTTGCAATTTTAAACCCACCCTTTTCCAAGTAGGTACGTGGTGCCCAGGGAGGGTCCTCCTCTGCGTACGGATCACTGTACTCCACCACTGCTGCCTCTTCCTCCTCATAGTCCTCTGGAGGTGGGGGTGGCGGCGGAGACTCATCAAACACTGGCTCATCCACAGGTGGGGGCGGGGGAGGAGTATCTGAAACTGAAATGGAGCAGCCCTGTACCTGGGAAACGGCCCCTACCACCATGGCTGCAGGTTATAGAAATGCTTCACATCCAGGCTAGTGGCTACAGCACCCGCGTAAGGAGTGGTGAAAATACACTAGAGACAATAAAGTTCAATGAAGGAACTCACTGAACATTCCTGCAGTGAAACCAATGAAAGTATTTCCTTCCCCCTTGCTTCTTTGGAACTTCTGACAAATATGCAGACAGCGAAGAATTCTGGCTGCACACAGACACATCTCTCATCCACTCAAAACAAAAGCCACGTGCAGAACTGAATCATGGCACAAGAAAGCGCACACTTACTGTTTTCTTGAACTCTGGCAACAAATCCCATTAGTGGTAACTGCGGAGTTACCTGTAGGATGGAGGGGGGAGGAGGAGCAAGGGATGCTGCCACAGAAATTAAAAAAAGAGGCATTCGGTTAGAAACACAAAGCAGCAAACAGGAAAGTAGACATCATCACACTCAGACAATGTAGCACGCTGCCAAGAAGCTGAGATAAAAAGGACAACATTCACCAAAAAATGGTTTAGGGTGTGTAAGCACATTACTTCATCCTTACTTCAAGGAGATTCCCACATTTTTAACTCAACCCATTTCCAACCCATCTCTTTTCCTAAGATCACGAATCAATGCTGAAGCAGAAGTTTGATCTCACGAAAGGATTCCATCAAGTTCTTTACAGCAGCACAGGACTCCACAAACTGGCCTACCTAACAAAGACATCAAGAAGTTTCGCCCCTGTAATCTTCCCATCTTTTAAATTGATTTATGTTTATAAATTGAATGTCTCTTCTATTAAAACACCCACAAACCCTTATTCCTGAAAATAGATATAGCTAATTTTCTACAGAACACAGGCAAAAAGATAAAACAGAAAATTAATTAAATGAGGCAATTTTAGGTGAAACAGAAAGGTACCTTTGAGAAACTTTAGACTTCCAGACAGAAGCCTTGTTGGTAGAACAAAGTACACTTTGCTGTTGCAGAGCAGCAGAGACTAGTCCAATGTGCTGCCTTCCCTTTCTGCCTTATTCTGCAAAACACTGAACTCTGAGCAGCTGGCTTACTGCTAATGAGAGTGCTGTCTTTCTACAAGATGTGCAAATTTTTACACTTAATTAGATAAGCAAGTGTATTGTCTAAGTACAAAAAAATTAGTTAATTCTAGTTAACAAAACTGTAGTCTCACCTTGTAAGGATAATGCAAGACAATTCTTTTTTTAAGAAAGCTCTTGGAATATTTTCCAGAAAGCACACCTCAGGAAAAGCACAACCATTTCTTGTTAGCGTGGTGTACACAGACATTAAATCATGGCCAAGAGAATACCAAGGAAAAAAAAAAGTTTTTAAAAAAAATCTACACTTCCTGTACCAGTACGTTTATTTACCTTACCGAGCTGAGCTAATTAAATTTCAGTCTAGTCCCACAGCTGCAATGTATGACTTAGCATTATTCAGAATTAGTACACCTCATCACAGCAAATGGAAAAAAAAACAACCCAAGTTATTTCAAATTCACATCTCAAAATACACTGTTTGCTCATTTAGCAACTGTTTTCTATTTAGTGCTTTAAATTTCTTCTGCCAGTCATGTTCCACCTTCTTTTTTTCTACCTCACATCACAAACAAAAAATATACACAAAAGCCAGAGCAACGTTTGTTTTTGTTGCAAGAGTATCCATGTACCTCCATATAAAGCAGGCTCCATTACCTCACCACTTAACTGGTATTTCTTGAGAAAATTTAAAATACATTTCTAATTACAGCTTCTTTGACTTGAGTGAGGTGATCTTGGAGAGAATATATTCCTTCAAATGTAACCACAACTGCTGGGAAAAGATCTGGTCTTGCATTTCTCAAAGAGGAAAAGGGAACGTGAATTTGAAACACTAATGAAATGCAACAGCATTCAAGAATACAGCGTTCCTGTCCAACTATGAAGTCGCCTCCTTTTTAATTACATATACTATAAAAATACTTAGTTTCAAAATGTTTCCTTTACTCAAAGTCACATGAAATCATACACTTCCTATCTACCATATGAGACTTGCTTTGGTCTCCTGGGTCCCTTCTGTGCACATTGTGTTCTGCATACAAGTCCTTGAAGGAGATAACAAGGCTTTCCAGGTAGAAAGACAAATCACCCTAGACAAGCACTCTAGGCAAGCACAACAAAAATCCCTTTGTTTTGTTTGGATCACGCAGTTTAATCAAAATGGTGATGCTAACACTAGCTGACATCATTCCTTGTTTATCTTAACCATAATCATTACCTTCCTTTTGGGTCCACAGACTGAACTGCAGTTATGCAACTTATGTAAAGTCAATTTGGTAACTTTATTATTACCTGCAATACTGTTATATATGCTGTCTAAAATGGCATATATATGTCTGAATACGGTGAAAATTCTCTTTACTGCAAAAAGCAATGTTGAAATGTTTATAGTTACTTTCCCTTCCTTCCCTTTTATTCCCTTTCAGATTTCAATATGCATATAATGTGCCTAACAAACGCCACGTATTCCATGCAACAGCGCAGCACTTCACTTGATCAAACTCTTCTACCCTCTCTGCCCCCAGCAGTACCATCCGCTTCCTTCTCAATTTAATCACACACATCTCTTTGCAGACTGACTCACAAGGAGTAATATTTGGACCCGACCAGATCCTTTAAACACAAACTGTAGCAGCTAACCTAATTCCTGATTCAACACTTCATCTAAAACAAAGCCAAACAAATCATCACCAACAAAAACACCCCCACAATAGCACTACAGTACTTTCAAATCAACTTTCAGACTTGCCTTTGCTAACAAGGTCTACAGCATCCCTTGCATCTTTCTGTAGCTTTGTAAGAAAAGGCGTCCCTTACTGTCATATCAATACCTTCACCTCCCCTCACAAGCTCAGGGAGAAGGACACCAGAGATGAACAGCTGCTGAGTTCCCCAACATACAGGACAATACTGCTTGTTAAAATCTCATCATGCGTTTGAGGACAGGTCAGCCACCAGAATAACTTCCATCACATATGGAAGTTCACAGAGGATTGCTTCCCTGCACGTTATACCAAGCACCACCGATGTCTAAAATCTCTAACACTTACCTCTATATAACAAGCAATTTACTGAACTGGTGGTTAATCACAAGGAAAAAGCACGCAAGCACACAGACTGATTAATGAAGAATCAGTGTTTTGCTGCAAAACCAAATGCCTATTATACACCAAAGCAGCTACCTGATACACAGTGCAGTAAAGGACTGAAGTTTGTCCAACAGATCCTGCAAGTCCTGGGAGATCAAAAGGAATTTATCTGACAACAAAAGCCATATTGTCCCAAGCTGCATGCCATAACAACAGCTGCATGCTCTGTGCTCACACCTCCGCTTCAGCACAGCTTCCAGCAATGTACTGCAAGTTACCTCAGACTGACTGCAAGAGCTGCACCAGAGACAGAACATGGGATTTCAGAGATCTGAAAGCCAGTCAATTCAACCCTGTGTTGCATCCATCACAGCAGGCAACCTTTCTTACCTGGGTTCTGGCTATAAAAAGGTCCTCCGTTTATCTGGTTCTGAAGGCTCGTCTGTGACGTGATCGAAGGAGGACGCCGATATGGCAAAGATCCCCCTATTGTTGGTGGTGTATGTCGAGACGCAGGCCTGTTCATGCTGTAGAACTGAACTGGGTGGCCTGGATTAGAAAGAGAAATGTGTTACCAAGGGAAGAATTAGGCTTGTTTTTTGTTTTTTTTAAAGCTACATTCAAAATTCAAAGGCTAGGAAAAGTTTCTGTTCTCTTAGAGTCAATCTACATCCTACAAGCAGTCAGCGCAGCTGCCAGAACACTGGATGTCTCAGCAGCACTACAAAAAACAAACAAACAAACAAACAAAAAACATTCCTCCAACTGCCTGTAATCAGCACTAATCACACACACAAAAAAAGAAAATGCAAAGGTACACAGACATATAATATATACATATGTGTGTATATATATACATACACAAAGTAAATCATTTTCATTTACCCATTTTATAAAACATAATAACTGAATTTATAAGAAGTTCTCATTTATAAACCTGCAAAAAATATCACTTTGCACTCCAGCTGTCAAGCAACACAACGTGTACAAACTGCACTTATTCAAAGAAAAACACAGTACTAAGTATCTTGTTGCTACTCATGAAATATACAGAGAATCATCTGGGGAGAAGAAAACGCTAGAAACTGCTTGAATGGATGGAATAAATGAAATCAAACTCAAAGGTCTGTTATTAAGGAGTTACCCATTGAAGCAACTCCTTGAAAACTTGCTCTGAAAAGCCTCGGACCGTGATCACATCTGGGCTCATCTGCCCGCACAAGGGAGCAGACACTCACCTGTAGAGGCCGTGGAAGAAACAGCAGGGGGAGTTGGAGAGGTGAAGCCATCAGCAAGGGGCTGGGCTCCTGCAGCAGCAGCAGCATCTGGGGTAGAGGAGGAAGGGGCTGGAGCAGGAGGGGTGGGGGCAGGAGCAGAGGTAGAAGGAAGGGGAGAAGTGCCAGCCGAGCCAGCAGGGGCTAAGTGAAGAGAGGAGGAAGAGGTGGAGTTAATAAGGAGATATGTTAGCAAGGATTAGAGAAAGCCTTTGACTCTTCAGTGTTAGCTACTTACTAGATGCATAGTATTTTAGAATGCACGAGGAGATGAGGGAAAAATGAAGCTACTAATGAAAGACTCATTCTTACGTAGACAGTTCATGAGGGTCAAGCAAACCTGCTGCTTCTTTCCAGGTCTGAAGGTAACAACCTAGAACTTTCCAGGGAGAGCCATTACTTTTGAAAGATGTCTTTAATCTTTGTTATTTAGGCTGCAATCTGTAGCATAGCTACATTGAGTTTTTGTACAAATTAGAAAATACACAAAAGAGGAAAGCCAAAAGTGCTTCTCTGGTTCAGAAGCATCATGTATTTCAGCTCACACAGCTAGCCAAAACGATATGCTCCTTTTCACTGAAAGTGCCGAGCAAGGAGTACTAAGATCACTTCCTGTTTCTGGAAAGACCAGTGTAGTTACAGTAAATGAATGCCTTTTCGTGACAAGTCAGCTAGGCTTGCATTGTGTACTGAGGATTTACTCTCTGCCTGCCTCTATTTTAATCTAATTGTCTAAAAGCAAGCTGCTATAGATCTGCATGAACAGCCGATGAAAAAGCATCAATTTGCTTAAAAGGGATAAGTTTCTCCCCACCCACCAAAAAAAGACATTGTTCCTATCTGGTTCCAAGCAGGCAGCCAGGCAAAAAATGCTCAGAAGTCAAGTAGTATATAAAATAAACACTAAAGTGCCTCACACACTTTCAGAAAATACGTTACATTATTCAAATTCACGTTACCAATAGCAAGCAATTTTCAATGATTGCATGCTCCTGGAAAATGAATTCTGAGGTTCCTCATGAGGCTTCCTCATCACATCTGCAAATGCTAAAGTTAACACTGAGACAGAAAGAGGAACAGCAAGTTTCCATTTACCTGGGTAGACACTGGGAGGAGATGGTGTGGGAACAGCAATAGGAACACCCACGCTGCCACTTCCACTGTTCTCACGACTACTGCTCCGACTGCTTGGGTGGCTTCCTCCACTACTCCCACTGCTGCTGTAAGAAACCAAAGTAACGCACAAAATGAATATGCTGCTCTACATGCTGAAACACAAAGGCCTCAGAAAGCACTTCGCTAATTCAGAGTAGTAACAGGAAACAAGAAAAAAGAAATGATGATATAAACCTATATACATCTAACTTTTCCAAAAAGTCCTCTTCATTTTGATCACAGCAGAATGTTTTTCAGCTAGTCCTAGAGAATTTGCCCAAAAATAAAACATGCAAATACAAAAATTCTAAAATGATAAAGTCAGATTTTCTTATGCTTTAAGCCCATCTATTTCACTAGCATCAAGTACTTATGATGTTCAAAACGGAAAGATTTCAAAAGAACTAGTATGTCAAGAAACTTTTCTTGGTATCCTAGAAAGAAGGCTGACCTTTTCCATAACCTTTGGTAACACAGCTCAGCTTCATTCTGTTTGCCACTACCAGAATCCTCAAAATGCAACACTCTTTTTCAACTGTTCAATCTAAAAATATCAACTGTTCAAACAGAGATGTGAAATATAAATTCAACACAAGGTCCTTCAACGTGAAGGACACAAGTCTTCACAGAATCACAGAATTGTTTGAGTTCATAGGGACGTTTTAAAGGTCCAACTTAGTCCAACTCTTCTGAACAGGGACCCCTGCATGTAGATCAGGTTGTTCACAGCCCCGTGCAGCCTGACCTTGAACATCTCCAGGGATGAGGCATCCAGCACATCCTCAAGCAATCTGTGCCAGTGCCTCACCACTCTTCCTTATATCCGATCTAATCTTCCCTTCCTTTAGTTTGAAACCACACCTCCTTGTCCTATCACAACAGACCCTGTCCCTTTCTTTCTTACAGCTCTCCCGCCCCCCTCCCCCCTTAAAATACTGAAAAGCCACTCTCAGATCTCTCTGGAGCCTTTTCTTCTCCAGGCTGAACAGTCCCAGTTCTCTCAACCTGTCCTCACAGGGAGGTGTTCCATTTGTGGGATCATTTTTGTGGCCCTCTTCTGGACACACTCCAACAGGTCCTTGTCTCTCCTGTACTGAGGACTCCCCATCTAGACGCAGTACTCCAGGTGCAGCCTCACCAGCGCAGAGCAGAGGGGCAGGATCACCTCCCTCAATCTGCTGGCCAAGTCTCTTTTGATCCAGCCTTTTCCCAGTTTTTAAACATTTAATGGAATACTGCAAATTACCTACTTGAAACAGTACATAATTTTAGTAAAACATTAAGTGCTACCACTATGTTTTAATATTAAAATCAAGGTAATCACAGGATTACGTTAACAATGTTAACACAACTCACTACTCTGGTTTCACTAGAGCACATTTTTGCCACACCAAATGGCATTGCCTGTCCATATCATGAATCAGAAAAAGCTTTGCTTTTCGAGGCGCAAATGGTTTTCAAGTTGTAGCATTTTTATCCATACACTTCTGTAACACCAGCCACCTTTGGCTCAGGACTACGCTAGGTACCTGTATGTGCGATTCCTCTGGTTCACAGAAGCCGTTCTAACAGGGCTCTGCTGTGAGGGAGCCATATTGCGCGTCGGGCTAGGCACGTAGTCATTTGGTACCACCGGGGGACGTACTGGCTCCAGCGTACGATACGGAGAGTGACGCCTACACAACAAAAACCATATTAAAGAAGCAAATCAGATAGTACAGACAAAGCCACTTTTTGGTCTTTAAAAAGTTAGCTGCATCCTAATCAGTATCAAGAGTTAAAAAAGTTATTCTGTAAGTTTTCGATACCTACTTTGGAGGATGACAAAAACATTTAAGAATGTTCTTCATGTAGTTCTATTTCCAGATGTTTTCCTACTCATAAGCTCAGATGCATGTTCCATTCTTGTTTTAAAAGTAATCCGTATCTTATTTTAAAGGTAAAGCACTGCAGTCTGTACATACATACATAATCACTTACTAGCAAGCAGCGTTCCTTCTGCTTACAGCAAGTTTCCTAAGGACTTTGCCTGTAGAAGTTGGGTCAAATTCAAGTTCACAGTCTTAAAAGGAATTATTTTTCTTACACAGCACAAATCAACAGTGCCATGTACCAACTTTCCAGTTGTTTAGCATCACCTCTCAAAGCCACACAGCTGATGATTCTTCTCTAAAGCATGTTCATGTGTTTTGCAATGATACAAAAAGGTTGCTGTTGGGAAGGGCTGATGATGCCTATTCTGGCAGAAATGTGTTCAACAGTATGTAACCAGTGACGTGATCAGTGCAAGATGCTGATGTACCACCTGTTGACCTTTGTGGATGGTTAAAGCAGAACCAGGCAATCAAAACACACCACACGAAAATCATCTTTTGTTCCTGTTCACCTAAGCCCTTCACATGCTTGGTAACTGCACTTACCCAATAGTTCCTTTTCCTGACATTGGTGGACTTGGTGGCTTCTGGGTGGGTGGTGTTGTACGTGGCAACCCACCCATCTTCATATTCTGTGTGCTGACCTGCATGAGAGAACGAGGAGAGAAATGGCCTTCTCTAAGCTCAGCGTCTAGGGGGAGAGATGCCTTCAGCAATTAACTCCAAGTAAGGGAAGGTTTAAACAAACAAAAGATCAACTGAGAGGCCATGCATTCTATGTGTAATTTCCACTCTGCTGAAAGTCAAGAGTTGTGCTCAAAGGACTCTTTATTTCTCAGGGTTTTCAAAAATGAGTGAATTTGCCTTTAGGCTATCACAAACATTAGATCAGTGACAATACAGGCACTGTATCTGACTTGCTTAAACCTCCCAGACAACCTTTATGAACAAAGGCAGTTAGTTGATGTTGCCCTATTCAGCAGTAAATTTCCAAAAATATTTTTAAGTACTCTTTAAAACTATTAAAGCTTATCTAGTAGGCCACAATTCAGTATATTAATACAAAATGCACAAAAGTCAACATAATTTCCAATATGTTTCATTAATGTTTTAACATTTTCACTTATTTAATATAGTATTTATTATAAATATTACCAATACACATTTAAAATTATAAAGAAAGCTATATAGACAAAAATAAAGATGCACTTTTTTCCCACATCATATTTGTAGCAAATTAATCTCTAATAATTGATAAATGAATGTATGGGGAGAAAAATTATTTGCAGTGGTGTGATGTGACTGTAGTCACCCCTTCCCATTCTTTCAGGTTTAATTACTAACAAAGAAACTTTTATATAAAATAATTTACTGTAACCTCCAGAGAAAAAGAAATCATCTGCGTTCCTAGCTGACCGCTCAATCTCGGTATCATAAACAAATACCACCAATGGCATTTTGTTTACCTGTATGCTGTCAGCCAAGCACAATTCTCTCAATGCATTCACCATTATAGGAATCTGTATGCAGCCTTCTTAAAAGTCTGTGTTAAACAGCTTTTGATCTACAAATGCTCAGACTATTGCTTGGATATAGAGATTTTCAACAAACTAAAGTAAATACATTCATGTCTCTTTTTCTTTTGTTCCTGTTGTGTTTGATTTCATAGTTTTTCTCATTTCCAAAAGGTAAATCTTGTCTAATGTCCCATTAAAAAAAAGAAAAGCACAGTGATCAACACACTAGGAACATTTGCAAATATTATTAAAAAGGCAAATTACTCCTTCATAATTTGTCCATAACAATGCATTAAACCACTAACAATGCTCGCTTTTTTAAACTTATAAATATTGAGACAGCATAAAGAGAAATACATTCAGCATTCTAACTCTCAAATTTGATTTCCTAGCTCTAAAGAACCCCACTCTATCACAATTTGAATTACCTGGGAGGAAAAGAAAACCAAGTACTGCAAGCTTGGTGACTTTTCTGTTTTGTGTGTCAGATTCAAAAACCAAACATTTGGACTTAGTTGTGCAAAAGTGCTTTCCAACGTCAATTTAAGAAAAAAGTATTTTAAACAACATTATAAAGTCCTTTAAGCCAACTCTAAGCAACAAGAATTCTAAAGTTAATTCAAGTGAGGAATGGGGTAAGCACTGAACTACAATTACTTGAAGGGAAGATGGAAAGTGTAAAATGAAGAATATTTTATTCTATACACGGAATATTAATAGGTATCACAAAATCCTCTTTTTTTTTTCTTTTTTTTTTTTTTTTAAAGTTGCAGCAGCCCTTGTATTTCCTCTTTCATTAGAGACACCTATTTCACCCACCTACTTCAGTTGTAGAAGAACAAAACAAACAAACAAACAAACCCAGTCACCGCAACATCACTCATTACAGCTTTTCCAAAGAGCCCCTTAGGCCCAGCAGGACAGGGCTTAAAGGTGTCTTTAGACGACAGCCAGCAGCCCAATCCACGTGCATCCCAGCAGTCCCTGCAGGTGTTTCAGCTGGCCACTCTGGCTTCTGCCTACATAATGCCAGCACCAACTACCACTTTACAGTTAACAGAACATCCTAAGTATGTAACCTTACTTTCAAAAGTAATATTACTTGCATACAAGAAGTGAAGTGTTAGTCTTCCACTGGGCTACAGCAACATGAGAAGGGAAGGAAAGCACAGTTAGAGACTACAGCGACATTGCACAGCCAACAGTCAGCAGAAGCAATACTTGTCTGATGGATGCACAATTCCAGTTATTGACAGTTGCTTTTGTTATTACTGCTAACAAAGATGTCCCTGGCACAGGAAGGGAAGAAAGCTTCAGAAAACATGGCTGAAGAAAAAGTGACCCTTTGTTAAACAAGGAATTTCAATCACAAAGACTCAGTTCTTCAGAAAGAAGCTGAAAGATGGGGAAATGCACTGACAGCGAGCTCAGTTTCAGGCTCTTTGAAATGACTTTTCATGGTTGAAACTGAAATGCTGAGAAAACGAAGTTTACAGGACTGTCTTCAAATCTGCCAGGACTGATGACTTGAAGACCAGCTACTGAAAGTTAGACAATTCCATCTGAATAAAATCCCCTTTCACTTAGAGCCAAATAAATTATTTCAGCAATCAAAATGGACAGATCTCTGGAAATGCTATTACACAAGACACTGAAAGGCTACAGACTAACTCAAGAAAATAAAAAGAATCACTTTCAGAACCGTACTATAGGTAACCTCTTGTTGAGATACAAACACTGTCAGATTTTAAATTTTTCCCCTTTTGACTAAGAGGCAAAAAGAATAATTATTAATAAAGCTATTAACACCCCCCTGACCCTAACAAATCTTTACTCTGTCATTACTGCCTTTCTCATTTTGCATATATGGTTGCAAATATAGTTTGAGACAAAACCTCATCCACAATCATCCCTCATAGATGATTCTACAATCCAAAGGAAGCTCCAGAACTCATGGTCACATTTACAGTTGCTGTCAGTTTTCAAAAATCAGTGTTCCAGTCAGAATTCCCAAGTAAGCTGGAGCTTTCTAGATAAAAGTTGCACTGTTTCCGATGACATTTCCCCTGGTTCCACATAGCTCTACATATCCAGCTGCAACTAGCTTACTGGAGGGAAAAGCAAAGGAACACATCTGCCTGTTGGTGGTTTGTGTAACTTCAGGTCTCCACAGATACAAACCAACCACAGATCTAAGAGCTTGCAAATTCTTTTAGGAAACTGCATGGCAAAACAGAGCCTGCAACTAAAAATCACAAAGCAGCTCACTGTTGGGCTAAGAATGAGAAAAAATTAAGAGAGGCAATAATGACCGAGGCACAAAGTGTTGGAAAAAAACACTGACTGTGGTAAAAGACAATCCTGTGAACCCAGAGCAGCACTGCACGTGGTCTACACAGAATGGATAAAGGGATTTTTTCAATGTTTTGCCTCTTTCCAAGGAGGCAAAAACACAGAAAACATCATCCATTGGAATTACATGGAAGGACTCCAAATAATTCTAGGGAGAGGACACAAGTACTCACAGAAAGCATTTCTTTGACTGGGTACCTTACAGAAGGTTTTTTACTTTTTTTTTATTTTATTTTTTTTTAACATGCAGTAGCATGCTACCGGGCTACAACAAAAAAGTTCTAAGGACCAGAGCTGTAAGTCTGGCAGTGCTGGATCTAAAATGTGATGCTTTGCTGAGGAAGAAACTGCATAAGCAACCTAAAACAAGCAGCTCCTTGCTAGCAACACATCCTGGAGGATGCCCTGAGACTCAGCTCCACAGTAACAGCAGTAAAACAAACTTTAAAGAAACAAAAGGTCCCCAAGTGCCTGAAACAGACCATTCTGCTTAAAAAAAAAAAAAAAAAAAAAAAAAAGGCACTATTGCTTGAACAAGAACTGCAGAGGTATATGGCTGATCCGCACAGCTTCAAAAAACTTCACTGCAACAAAGATTCAAATCCAGAACACATTCACTTTTTGGCCAAGCATCTCATTGTTAGATTCATTACCAAGATAAAATGATTTCCCCCTAAAGACTGAAGAGTATATATTCCAAACCTCAGGAAGAAGTAAACCTAAAGTTGGACTCTGCCCAAAATTTTGTAAGAGCTGCTTTACTGTCAAACCAAATTTTCTAGATCTTTCAGGTCACAAAAGATTTGGCAAATCTAATAGAGCCCCCATAGTGATGCTCCACAGACTACATTCCGAAGACCCAAGCAGCTATCCAGCCTTCCTGAGCAATTCAATACCCGGCACTGCAAAAACCACCTGATGCTGAACAAAAACTTCCCATGCCTCACTTCATCTTGTGAAAGGTCCAGAGAGGACAGACTACACTTTTTTGCCTGTCATCTGCTCCCTCAGAGTAAACGCTTTGCCAGGTTGGGCTTGGCTACTTGACTAGTTATTCTAGAAATCTAATTAAGCTGTACATCCCTCAGTTGATAAACAAGTTGATATGGAAGAGAAAGTCTATATTTCAACCTTGTCTTAGCTAACGGCCACAAGTAAAAGCTTCAGCAAACAAGTTTACCTGCTTATACTATGTTTACTTACATAAAGTAATTGAAGAACCAAGTCCAGTAAGAACAAAAAGGCTTCAACAATGTTGTTCTAAATTCATGTGCTGACAGGAGATGGTGCAGATACTACTCCTCTGACTGGTAGCTGTAGTTTTCTTAAAAGTGTCTCTTAAATTTAAAAGCAAGCTATGCAGACAGAAGCAAGGTTTGCCTCATCAGTCAGTTTAATGCTGGAGCTCTCAGCCAAGACTAAGGTTTCTTTGTAGCCATAAAAAATAAACACAGACCAAACATTTCATATGAAGTCTCTCAAGTGAAGTAAAATTCATATCCACATGGAACTACAGTTAGTGGCCTTCTTTCAGTTTTCTCCTTTCAGGCTGATGCACTGCGACTATAAGGACTCCTGAAGAGTAACATACATCCACTAATGGGGTTCTTTTTAAACCCTCACAGTTTTGGTAATGAGGAGATGCCTGACATTTTAGCTGCCAAATGGAATTTACGATCAGGTTCACACCAATAAAATGGATAAATACTTCAACTGGTGTTATAACGAATAATGTTACTTTCATTCTAAACCCATGAAAAGAATTTTTAAGAAAA